GGATATGATTTTTAGCCGATTTTTTGTTACAAAATTATTTCATAGAACTACTCTTTACAGTGACATTGCTTTTTACAAAGCAGGACACCTGAAATAATTTGTAAAGCTAGGAAATGGGCCAAAAGTGAATTTCGCGAAACAAAAATGGCGGCCATTTTGAAAATAGGCGAGCTTTTGAACCAGGAGTCATAGGGGAGTTTTTAGTATTGATGTTGAACAAAAATAACTTAAAACGGGAATCCTATTGACAGAGGTTTTAACACAAATGGTCCAAAAGTAGATTTCGCGAGACATATGAACAAATCAATGTTAACTAAAATGGCTGAAAATAAAAAAACTGATATAATTCTTTGCCGATTTTTTGTAACAAAATTATTTCTTACAACTACTCTTTACATTGACATGAATTTTTACAATGCAGGACACCTGAAATTATTTGTAAAGCTAGGAAATGGGTCAAAAGTGAATTTCACGAGACAAAATTGGCGGCCATTTTAAAAATAGGCCAGCATTTGAACCAGGAGTCATAGGGGCGTTTTCTGTATTGATATTGAACAGAAATAACTTAAAACAGGAATCCTATTGACAGAGGTATTAAAACGTGCCACTGTTATTGACGGAAAGTGGATTTCGTGATTCAGATAGACAAATCAATGTTAACTAAAATGGCTGAAAATAAAAAAATGGATATAATTTTTCGCTGATTTTTTGTAACAAAATTATTTCATATATCTACCCTTTACATTGACATATATGGATTTTTACAATATGCAGGACACCTGAATTTATTTGTAAAGCTAGGAAATGGGTCAAAAGTGAATTTCGTGAGACAAAAGTGGCGGCCATTTTGAAAATAGGCGAGCTTTTGAACCAGGAGTCATAGGGGAGTTTTCTGTATTGATGTTGAACAGAAATAACTTAAAACAGGAATCCTATCGACAGAGGTTTTAAAATGTGCCACTATTGTTGAGGGACGGACGGACGGACAGACAGACAGACGGACAAGTGAGTGATTGCAAAAGCTCACCATGTGAGCTAAAAAGGTGTCACAATTTATGGCCAGCATATATTCATGATATTTAGGAAAGGGAGAAATATGAAGAAACCTTTAGTAACAACAATTCCAAATAGGTTTGTATAGAATAAAGATTTATATGTCAGAGTCCTATACCCCAACAATTATAATAAGTTTTATTATACATCGTATCTATACCCAAGAGTAAAGTCCTAGTACTCATGTTAAAGAGGTTGCTTAATAAATGAATAAGATTAGTTTTTTGTTTAAATATTGGAAAGGAAAAAATTGACACCATCTCTATTGAAAGCCAATGTTTGATATAAAAACTATAATTCTAAGTCCTGTAGATTTGCTGATTATAGGCTTTGCTTTTTGTTTTATCCTTCACAGAGATATATATAATATACTGGGTGTTTCATAATGAATGTCCCCCCATCTATCACCATTCCTAGATGACAAACATCCATGCGTTATATATCATATGAAAGCATGTTCAATTCTTGACTTATTGAAACAACTTTGATTAAGCTCAGTAGCGTTTACCACTTGCTAAATATCACTACAAAAGGTGTCTATTTGATCTTTGGCATATAATCAAATAGTCATATTTTCTGTAGCTGTGTGTTCTGTTAAAAGCAATGATAACCAAGGTTCAGAACAGCATTATCTCCAGGAATGTACCAATTGTATCACTTGATAGATCCTGAGGATAAATCTTAATATTTAAAAGAAAAATTTATTATCATTTTAAAGCTCTTAATGATACAATGGATTATATTACTATCTGCTCCTTTCTTTCAACCCTTCGTGAATGTAGGCCATTAATCTAGCAAATTAGGGTGATGATTACTACCAAACATAAGTTCAAAGACTATGTTCCCAAAAATCAATTATGCCAATATTTAGTTCATAAGTCAAGAACTGAAGGAGCTTTACAGTAATATACAGACTAAGGGGTCATGCGATTTAGGATTGACTGTAGATAGGACAGTCAGTATGAAACATCCTGTGCAGTGTATATAGCAATGTGTGAAATCAAAAATCAAAGTACAGAAAAGTAAGTACAAGCATGACAGTATGGGGTAGTTTTTGTTCTTTTTCTTTTGATTATACAGTTGATGGAAGCTTGATGATCTGATGAGCAGTGATTTATGAATTTAAAACATTACGATTATTTGGGATATGACCACAATATGTCATAGCTGTGGTGAGATATTGATAATAAAATTATGGGCAGATATTTTCTTTTTAAGAAAACTGTTAACAAGATGTCAAAATTCTCATAATAGGAATAGAATAATTGTAACTGTATTTCCAAACCTTAACTAGCATTGCCCTCTATACACAAGCAAAAGCATTATTCAGTGACAAGGGCTTGCCGAGGGGAAGCCGGGGGCATCAACTTTGGAAGAAGAAATTCGGGGTGTGCCGGGGGAGCGGGGGCAACCAACCCCGGCAATCTAAAATTCAATGAGAGTTTAACATGTCTCCCAAACCGGGGCCCCGGCCAACCCCTGTCACATCTGACGGGGCAAATGACCCCGGTAATCTTTTGTTCTCTACTAAATTGACATGGGTGTTTACTGGTGACTGCCCCCAAATGCCCCCGGGACTTTTCATAAGGGCAGTTATCATGTACAATTCAAAAAGTATTTCGAGTTAAAACAGTTAATCGGGAGATTAAAATGAAATAAAGCACAAACCACATGCCTATTTTAGCCAGAAATTACAAACTGCGCATATACACTATCTAAACTACATATACGTAATTATCATTGGAATTTCTAAAGAGGCATATGTAGGTGCTTTAGAATTCCTGCTATATCGTCAGACTTTATTAGATTTGCATATTGAAAGTCAAAGTTTATAATAGAAGTGACAATTAAGTTGGAAAAGAAAAAACGTTTACTTCCAGATTGAAATAAGAGTAAGGAGATTCATGAATGGATGGCTCAATAAACTTTTTCTCTTGAGACTTGAGAGGACATCTGATCGAAAGGATATTTTCACAGTATTTTATATTTAGTGTATTCTCGAACGAGTCTCTTGTATCTTTTAATAGCTTCCCTTTTGGTCTTTTTCAATTGTCTTTCTTTTTTAAGAACGCATTTATTAAATTTCTTTTGTCAAAATCTGGAGGTGGTGTCATTATTTGAGGAGCTTAAAGAGAATCACTGGGCATATTGTCTTTGTATCTGGCTAGTTTTGCAGACTTCTTCTTGTTGCTTATATTTTCTGAAAACACAAGCTTGGATAGACACACAGTTTGGAGATATTAGGCGCGCAGTTTGGGAAATACATGTGAATGTAGGCGCGCAGTTTGACAGGAAAAATGTTTCAATCACGTTTATGGCATATTTTCGTTTTGAACACAAACTTTGCTGCTTAAATCGGATGGAGTAATCCTATATATTCTAGCATACACAGATACTGAATGAATGCCAAATGACGATAAAAAGACAAATGTAACCTAAAAATGTAAATTTTGAACGAAGAAGCTACTTAACGCCCTTATATTGAGATAACTAGGTTTACATTAGGAACAACATTGAGTACTATGAGTATATTAAGTTCATATTCACAGAATGATACTATCTTAAGAACGAGACCAACCTTGTATTTTTCATGTTTTGGCTCTTTTTGGGAGTCGTGTCCTCCCCGTCTTCCATTTTGAAATATGCGCGCAGTTTGTCAGAGTTACAAACTGCGTGCTTAGTAGGCGCGCAGATTGACATGGGCACCGTGATAGTTATACAAGGAAAGTTGATTCAAAAGATATGTATGGGCAAGTGCCAACGGGAAAGTATCAACAGTAAGAAAAAGAAAACATGTAGGCTAGGCGTACAATGATAAGGAAAACAAACACCTATCACAAATCATAATCCAACATGAAAATTGTCTGATAGCCCTCTCCAACCATTCAAGTACCAATATCACAATGCGAGACAATAATACCAAGGACCATTTCTTCATACTGAAGTCATTACAATACATCCTGAAGAATAAATTAAAAATTGATAGCCAACATAACATTAATAAAAATAGCTGTAGATACTAGTATCCATACAAGAGAGAGCATTCAGTCTCAAATGATGTGGGACTGACAAAATCCAATCTTTAAGTCCATAAGCATTAATCAAAGGGTCAACATCCATCTCTGCAAAGCTGATGCCATTATCCATAAAACACAATATTTCAAAATGGTCATCAGGAGAAAACTATGATGGTTACCATCCCTATTTCTCAACAATTAATCCCAGAGCCTGAATCAACCTAAAAGGGTATCAAGAGAAAAAATTGTAAGTCCGTTGCCAATCTTTAACAATTCTTACATCCCTTAGCATTTCAAGTGGCAAAACTTGAAACTTTACAACTAATTAGTTTTTTGGCAATTTCTAGATGAATGTTAAATTGGCCATTTTGGATTTTCCATCCTGAAATCTTCTCTTCAGCTGATTATTGGTGGGCATTTAGGTTACAAAATCTATATAGGATCAACCATTGACATGCATGTTGCACATGTTTGTTTAATTGTGTTGAAAAAGTACACATTTCTAACAAAGGCATCTTTTTTCCAGTCAGATGAGGTTGTTCAACGCTCTTTCAATGAAACGATAAAAAATAACAGCACTAGATGTCCACATTGCAATGCAACTTGGCTACAATCAAACAACAGGGCTTCATTTAATAACACCAGCTTAGCTTCTAAATCAACAGCCACAATAGAATGCATGGAATCCCCTGGATGTAACAGATTGACCCAATGGCTTTCTGCAACGACCGAGTCATCTTATGAGAACTTTACCTCTGACAAAAATGTCAATGCAGACCTACCTTCAGGTGTTTCAGGCCACAAGACATTCATCGTGCAAGACTTTTTTCGGGATCTTGAAGTATCAAGAGCTGAACTTATCATTGAGGTTACCATATTGGTTGTGTTAATGATTACTGGTGCCCCAAGTAATGCATTAATCATTTTTGTGCTGATTATATCAAAAAACTTGCGCAAATCAAAGGATTTTATGATTTTTAGCCTAGCTTTATCTGGTCTAATAATTACCATAGTCACTCATCCAATATCCATTTACACTACTTATTTTGGAAATGGAAACTCTGAAGCAGTCGAAGGTCTTCTGTGTGATGTTGTCAGCCACTGTTTAGTAATAAGCATCGGCGCAACTTGGTATAGTTCTTCTCTTATGGCTCTAAATTGTTTCTATTCAACTCGGCCTCATTCAAAAATGCGAATAATATTACAAAGCAGACTGTGTATTATATTTTTGTTGGTTCTTGCCTGGCTCATTCCCACTGTGATCACGGTCATACCTCACATTGCAGGGTACGCATTACCAGCTTATGCTCCCGTATGGGGTGTCTGCCAAACTCTTATGCGTGCCCCTCGAAAAGAAAATATCACAAATAGTGCCATCATTGTAGTGGTATTTTTAATGGCTTTCAACATGATTGTATGCTCATTTTTCTATGCCAAATTGTTAGTATTCTTGTACAGGCGAACTGTTATATTTTCTAATAGTGCAGTACAGGGTCAGTTTGAAAGAACGTGTAAACAAATGATTCTCATGTTTTTCTTAATGGTAGTTTGTTTATTGCCATTGACCATTGTAGGATTTGTTGACCCGTTAATGATAAAGTTGAGCTCGATGCCTACTGTGTTTAACCGTCTGATTTTCTATATCTGCTTGGCAAATAGTTCAATCAACCCTTTTATCTATTTATTCAAACATAAAGATATTAGACAGGCTGCCCTAAAATTTTGTTGCAACACTGCATCTGTGGCTATGCATTCACCTGCTATAGGTAATATGCTTCCCCTTGGATCTGTTGCCATGCCACAGTATGGATCTGTTGGTGAGCCACGAGAAGCAACTATCGGTGTGCTCAACCATGGATCTGTTGGTGAGCCACGAGAAGCAACTATCTGTGTGCTCAACCATGGATCTGTTGGTGAGCCACAAGAAGCAACTATTAGTGTGCTCAACCATGGATCTGTTGGTGAGCCACGAGAAGCAACTATCAGTGTGCTCAACCATGGATCTGTTGGTGAGCCACAAGAAGCAACTATTAGTGTGCTCAACCATGAATCTGTTAGTGAGCCACGAGAAGCAACTATTAGTGTGCTCAACCATGAATCTGTTAGTGAGCCACGAGAAGCAACTATCTGTGTGCTCAACCATGGATCTGTTGGTGAGCCACAAGAAGCAACTATTAGTGTGCTCAACCATGGATCTGTTGGTGAGCCACAAGAAGCAACTATTAGTGTGCTCAACCATGGATCTGTTGGTGAGCCACGAGAAGCAACTATTAGTGTGCTCAACTATGGATCTGTTGGTGAGCCACAAGAAGCAACTAATAGTGTGCTCAACCATGGATCTGTTGGTGAGCCACGAGAAGCAACTATCGGTGTGCTCAACCATGGATCTGTTGGTGAGCCACAAGAAGCAACTATTAGTGTGCTCAACCATGGATCTGTTGGTGAGCCACAAGAAGCAACTATTAGTGTGCTGAACCATGGATCTGTTAGTGAGCCACGAGAAGCAACTATCGGTGTGCTCAACCATGGATCTGTTGGTGAGCCACGAGACGCAACTATTAGTGTGCTCAACCATGGACCTGTTAGTGAGCCACGAGAAGCAACTATCGGTGTGCTCAACCATGGATCTGTTGTCAAGCCACATGAAACAACTATCGGTGTGCTCAACCATGGATCTGTTGGTGAGCTACGAGAAGCAACTATTGGTGTGCTCAACCATGGATCTGATGGTGAGCCACGAGAAACAACTATTGGTATGCTCAACCATGGATCTGTTGGTGAGCCACGAGAAACAACTATTGGTGTGCTCAACCATGGATCTGGTGGTGAGCCACATGAAACAACTATTGGTGTACCAACATACACTAATGTTGGTATGCCCCCATGTTATATATAAATAATTGTCTTTTCTTCCTTGTTGGTGTACCCCAATATGCTATACAGCTTTTGTACATTATCGCTTCGTGGTGTGCAGTGTGCTCCCATGTGCTATATAAAATAATGGTCATATTATTCTGCTATATTCTTGTTTATTGGTGTGGCCCAATCTGCTATACATATATAGGCCAATAGTCATATTACTGTGCTATATAATTAATGATCGTTGGTGTGGCCCAATTAGCTATAGGCCAATGGCCATATAACTTTGTGATGTGCTCCCATCAGCTATACATATCTCGTATATAGTAGCCCGGACAGAATTGTTCAATGGTCACTTTTTTTTTAATAACTTTTTTTCAGTATTATCAAAATCTGATTACATATTTGAAAATAACTAGAGTAAAATTCTGACATACAACAAAAATATTTAAGGAACATCTCTCAATTTAATGATATTATAGGCGTTAATAGTATGAGTGACGTAAATACATAATTCACCATTTTGTCTCATTTTTGTTCAAAATGGCGGCATATTTTGTGGTTTGGATGATCAGTTGAAAGTTAATAGTAGCCTGGACAGAATTGTTCAATGGTCACTTTTTCTTTAATAACTTTTTTAATTTTCAGTATTATCAAAATCTGATTACATATTTGAAAACTAGACTAAAATTCATCTTACTCCATAAAAAAAATATTTAAGGAACACCTCTTAACTTATTGATATTATAGGCGTTCATAGTGTGAATGAAGCAAATACATAATTCACCATTTTGTCTCATATTTGTTCAAAAATGGTGGCATGTTTTTGGGTTTGAATGTTCTGTTGAAATCATTCCAATTGTCATTTCTCCAAGAGAATATTTCTGTAAAATTGTCAATAAATCGTATAACTGTTATCAACAACATTGATTATATCAATTTGACTTAAACCTCTAGGGAAACTAGTGAATTACCTTTAATAAATATGATTCATATTTGTATACATAAGGTTTTTGATCTCCAGTCCGAGAAAATATATATGCATATTGTTCTTTCTCCATTTTTATCTTATTAGTTCTTTTTTAGCTCATGCATATGAGGGGTGATCAGAAAGTAATGAACCGTTGGATCTAATTTCAACAACATTAAGCCTTTCTACGCAATTTTTTCACACAATATAGCTTGTACATTAAAGGCAGAATCAGATCTATAGGGGGTGACAAAATTACAAGCAACTTGTATAATTGACCTACCAATCTATTCCTTACAATATCTAAAACAATCTCTCCCAAAAGATTCACAATATGTTATAAATTGGTGAAGTTATTAATGATTCAAGGTGCAAAAATGAGTGAAAAATGTTTAAATTCCCCCAAATAATATAAGAATGGTAACCATTCTTATAGAAAAATAATATATTATTGTAAAAATCTTAAGTTTTCCTTGAATAAAGTATGCACTTTTGTGATTTTTAGAAAATAGACATGACAAGGAATGACATGAGCCAAAAATATTCTAAAATTGAAACAATTTTTTGTTTAGCCTGCTGGCTATATCTGATTCTCTCTTTAAATAAAACACTGACAGTTTTCAGTTTTATTGCTCTATGACATTACAATTTTATTTTATTGGTTGCCTTGGTTTCTAAGGTAGTGTCAGGGTAGATGTTACATTTTATTGTATTTTTTCCAAATTTTGTTGACGATCAAAATCCATTCAGTCAAGTCTACATATTGTCAAACACCTATTCTTTAACACTACGTTATCTTCATCTTACTCCAATATTCCATTACTTTCTGATCGACCCTCGTTTATATACAGTATAAAAATGTATTTTGTATAACATACCTGGGGGTTTTGAAGGTGAAGAGCTTTCTCTACAAAGAAATGTACATCTCCTACTGGGGGGTATCGCATCAAGGTGGTCATACATGTAGGGTAGTCACTCTCTAGCACTGTAATATACAGAAACATATGTAAGATCTAAGTGCCAACCGAACTGCAATATATATATATATATTGGGCATTTGTGCCCACCGAACAAAACATTTTATTCATTTCTTCATCATTTTGGACATTTCACAAAAGAAACTAGACAACAGCAATGCCAAAGCGTAGCAAATCCCATCGAACAGCCATGGCTGGTATTTTTCCAAACAAAATATATAGCAAAAATGGCAGCCACTTTCTACCAAAGTGTCATTAGACAGTGTGACATGCTTATAGTATTCACATACCAAATATGAACAAATTCGCTCCACTACTTTTCCAGTTATAGTAAAATACATTAAAATGGTGGCCATTTTTCAAAAAAAATAGTATTCACATTATAGTATTCACATGCCAAATATGAACAAAATCGCTCCACTACTTTTCGAGTTACAGCAAAAATCGCAAAATAACGAGTAAAGGCCTCCATTTTTCAAGATGGCTGCCATGTGCTTCTTTAATATCTACATTTCTAGCTTTATTAATCGTCCTATATCATTTTTTTACATTTAAAACATATTGCTATTACAGTTTTACATATTGCACCTAAATTACTGTAAAATCAACACTAAAATGGACGCCATTTTTAAATGAGCTGCCATTTTGAAAATCGCCTTTCGAGCAGAACTTCTATCCCATATGTATACAAAATATGAACAAAATCGGGCCAACAGTATTTGAGTTATTGCCCAGACGGACGTAGGGACAGACGTATGGACGGACAGACGGACGGAGGCGTTCCCTATATCCCTCCGAACTTCTTTCGGTGGGATAATAAATTTGCACCAAACCCTTCCATAATAAATAGTACCGTGGGTACTGGGCTCACATGGTGTTGCTCAAAAGGGAAAGATGGCTAAAAGGACAAAAAATAAAAAAACAGATTTTTTGCCGATTTTTTGTAACAAAATTATTCCATACAACTACTCTACAAAATCATGGATTTTTACAATGCAGGACACCTGAAACTATTTGTAAAGCTAGGAAATTGGCCAAAAGTGAATTTCGCGAGACAAAAATGGCAGCCATTTTGAAAATAGGTAAGCTTTTGAAGCAGGAGTCACGTTTTTTTTTTCTTTATTGATGTTAAACAAAAATATTTTAAAACGGGAATCTTATCTAAAGAGGATTTAAAAAGAGCCAAGTGTTGAAAGAGGTTTTAAAACTTGCCACTATTTTGGACTGACTGAGATACAGATGGACAAATCAATGTTAATAGCTGGATGACAAATTGAGGTTTTTTTTCATAATGCTACCCACCTGGTATAACAAGTCGTGTGTGGTATCATATTGAAGCTAAGAATATGGGCAATACAGAAATGTATGTTGTGAAATTTGGTTCCGCGACCGGAGGTGATTAATTTCACTAATTAATTAGTGAACAATAATATTGAAAAATAATTTTGATTTTCAATGTTAATGGTAAAGTACTTTAAATAACATGTTCAAGTCCTTCATCTTTGTAAATTATGATGATATACTATAGTGAGGTTAAACAGTGCTTATTATGATCAATAATATGTAAATTAGATAAACATGTTATGTAATACAAGTTGGAAAATGCTTTTTTATGTATCATTTTATTTGATACTAAAATTAGTCTATACAAAATGAACAACAGTCAAAAATCCTCATTTAGCATTCAAATAAAAGAGAAGTGCTCACAAGACCTTTTTATGAAAGTTTGAATTAATTAAAGGTTACTAATTAATTGGCTGAACCCTTACAAATATATAAATTAATTAAATATTTCATTTGATATCATAAACTGTTCTTATACAAAATGAACAAGACAGTTGGAAATTCTCAATTAGCATTCAAATTAAAGAAGTACTCTCAGAGCCCCTTTTTCAAAGTTTGAAATAAATAAAGGAAATTAATTAATTGGTGTAACCCTTACAAATATACTAAACAACTTATTTTTAACTCTGTTAATTTATTTATATAAAAAGAACACGATTTTTCAAAATATTCATTTAACATTCAAATAAAAGTATCACAAAGTAATTTTTATAAAAGTTTGACACAAATAATATTAACTAATTAGTGTAACCCTTACAAATGAACTTAATAACTTCTTTATGGATTTGCTTCAGAATCAGTTGAAGTAGCCATCACAATTTGTTACCTCTATTTTACTGGTCAGTAGTCAATCAAGAGTTTATAGGGGTAACTCCAGGTACTAACATAGGTCGATATAAAACCCTTATCATCAACCCCTGTGTGAAGGAAGCATAATAAGTACAGCCCTTACAAAATGTATCATATAAATTTATCGTATAAATAAGATTAACTAATTAGTGTAACCCTTACAAATGAACTTAATAACTTCTTTATGGATTTGCTTCAGAATCAGTTGAAGTAGCCATCATAATTTGTTACCTCTATTTTACTGGTCAGTAGTCAATCAAGAGTTTATAGGGGTAACTCCAGGTACTAACATAGGTCGATACAAAACCCTTATCATCAACCCTATGTGAAGGAAGCATAATAAGTACAGCCCTTACAAAATGTTTCATATAAATTTATCGTATAAATAAGATTAACTAATTAGTGTAACCCTTACAAATGAACTTAATAACTTCTTTATGGATTTGCTTCAGAATCAGTTGAAGTAGCCATCATAATTTGTTACCTCTATTTTACTGGTCAGTAGTCAATCAAGAGTTTATAGGGGTAACTCCAGGTACTAACATAGGTCGATACAAAACCCTTATCATCAACCCTATGTGAAGGAAGCATAATAAGTACAGCCCTTACAAAATGTATCATATAAATTTATCGTATACACCCCTGTAACTCATGTGAAGGTTCACAAGACATCAACACTTGAATCATCTTCATCACAATTGCCTGGATGTTGGAACAACCACCCTGATCATGACAGGCACATATTGGAATGCAAGTTAGTCCTGCAGCCAGACAATTTTGTGCAACATTACAGTTTGCGTCCTTGCAATAAAGATGTGTAACATCCCTCAATTCAATTAGAGCTGGGTCTTTGGTGATCATTACAGGCATCATTTTCCCATTGACTATTTTCCATTCATTTCCAACTGGGTCTCACAAATCTAGTTCAGCAATATGACTGGAAAGCAAAATCTGAAGTTGAATCTGGCACATTTGTACATGTTGTTTGAATGCATCTTCTGTTGGTGGAAGACCTGATGCTGGTTTATCTGTTGTAGAAGCCAACACAAAACGGAGGTCGTCTAATGTCATAGCTGCACTTGTTTTCTTTCCTGTCACACAACATTGACAGAATGAACTGCCTAGCGAAACTTTGGAGTTTAATTTGGTCTTCAAATGCAGAAAGGCAAACTATTTATGTATGATTTTTCTGCAGTTTGGCAAAGGCAGTTCTCTTGCCAATTCTATGCAATGCGTAGGTTGTGTCCGATCCCGTGAGCACGTGAACTGCAGGAAGTAATCGACAAATACCTTCACCAAGTCCATTTGCAATGGTATGAATTGGGATGTATCTCTCCTTGACTTCAAGTCTGTCTGTCAAATATTGAGTCTGAAAGTAATGAACTAGGAGGACAAATACATCTATGTCATCACACTTGACAATGATACGCTGGTTCTGTTTTGCATTTTTAATAGTGTGTAGAATGAGCATTATATCAGCCTCTTCATGACTACATGCAAGATGGGAGAGATATTGATCACCTTTTGCTGTCAGCTTTGAAACTTTGTCATTGTTTTGGAATCCACCAGCAAGAACTACACTCTGTCCCTTTTTGAGGTATTGAGGAGCAATGACCACTAGCATTTGACAAATGAAATGAGCAAGATTTGCTTTATTTGCTGGATTCTTCAAGAATCTTCTAAAATTAGGCACATTCCTTCCAGCAGCAATTATATGGGTAGTTGAGTCATCATTGTTGCTGCGTCTCTCACGTTCAGCAAATTTGATAGCCTGATATTGGGATTATCATATCTAACAAATACTACTGTTAGTGCATCAGTGGTACCTTTCAGAAACTTTAGGATTCTCCCTAAAACTCCATCCACCAGTCGTTCATCGACTACAGCAGGGCCATCCCATAAAAGATATAACTACTAGTTCCTTCTTTAAGGTCTTCCGAAACTTCTGTCACTCCGGCATATGATTCCAGTCTCTTTGCTAATTTACACTTAGCAGTTTTTCTTATTGTTCCATCATCATTGAACAATGAAGGTGGCACTGTAGTGAGCTCATGCTTCAGCACTTGTTGTAAATCTACATCACGATCCTTTGAAACCAAAAGCAACCTTCTAAATAAAACTTCAGATTCTATGGCAATCCTTTTTCAAGCTACAGTAATGGTAGTTTTCTTTGTGTCTGAAAAGGTTTTTATGCCAAGCCTTTTATCTGGATCCCAAAAGTGTGCTGTATCTTCCAAGAGCCGGTGTACTATGAACTTTTCTTGGTGTTCTTGGCCCTGTCAAGATATTCAGTTAGATCCTTTTCAAGGGGTGCTATTTGGCCCGTTCCTATGTTAATTAGATTTGGTGGAACAGTCTCCATGTCAAAGGGATTTTGAAAAATGTCATTGATGGTTGACTTCATTTTTAGTAGGTCACTTTCAACTTTGGCCATTCTACTTTTTCCAATGTCACTGTGAATAGCCGTCGTGCCGACTGGTACTGTAGGATTTTCACTCCCTCAAAATATTCAGCAGTTATGTGCCTTGTCACAAGCCATCTGATAAGTGTACTCTTAGATCGTGTGAAACCTTTATTTCCTCCTGAGCTTTTTGCTTCCTTTTTAATTGTTTGCTCGAGTCCCTGATCTGTTGGGACACAATTGAAATGGGTCGAGTCTGATCGTCTAACAACAAATCCACCTTCCCTGCATAATTTATTTTTCCTGCTACAAAAAACCAGGGAATTGCTTCAGCAATCGAATCAAGATTGAAAATTTGCTGAATGGTCAGCTCTGAGGATTCTAAATAAGTCACACCCTTCTAGAAAAGTAGCCCAGTATTCAAATGTTTTTGATCTTTGTCTTCCTTCTCTTTTCAATATTTAGAGCTTCTCATCAGTTGCTTCAATTTCCTGTTCCATACTTTCATTGAGCATATTGACTTTGTCCAGTTGACTCTCATGAAAAGCAATCTCTAGACGTCAAAGAAGATCTTTCAGTTTTTCAGATAACAGAGCTTCATTGTTTTCTGCATACCAGGCCTCTGCTGACTACAGGGTGTCCCGAAAGTATGGGCCCCCCCTAGGCAGACATATTCCAGTGTCCTCATAGTATGTGTCATATATCATTTTAAAGCTTATCCAAAGTTACATTGATTTGCCAAGTATCATGGTTTAACTCCAAAATGGGAAAAAGTTACAGTCATTTTAAAAGTTAGTGTTTTGTCAAAATAAAGTTCAATTTTACGCCACATAACTAGTCAATGTGTCCCCCCTTGGCCATGTTAACAGCAGCAATTATTTTCAGATATGACCTTAAAAGCCCTTCAAATAGGGGTGGGGGATTTTATAACCCTCTTAAAACCTGTTAAGGGACTTTAGAAAAGTTTCCTTAGAGTTTCTACCCTCACCATTCTCTTTTTCCAACTCAATATCGCTCCAACCCGAAAAGAATTGCTGCTGTTAAGATGGCCCAGGAGGACACATTGACTAGTGATTTGGTGTAAAATTGAACTAAATTTTGACCAAACACTAAATTTTGAAATGCCTGTAATTTTTTCACATTTGAGAGTTGAACCATGATACTTGGCGAATCAATGTAACTTTGGATAAGCTTTCAAATGAGATATAACACATACTATGACGACACTGGTATATGTCTGCCTAGGGGGGGCCCCATACTTTCGGGACACCCTGTATATTTAGTCTAGAGAGTGCTTCGTAAGCTAGTTTGAGGCCCACTAATTCCCCTGTCTAAGTGTTTTTCTTGTAGCATTTGTTTGGCATTTGCTGGTGCAAAAACATCTGATTTCCCATAGCACAGTTATGCAGTCACCACAAAATAACAAAAGATTTGAATATCAAAGAGGTTCATCCTATTCAATATAGATAGTAATCAGATTCAAGCTTTCAAACAATAATAATGCTTTTGATCATTGAGTATGTATTACAATAATCATTGTTATGTCACATACCTATAAAAGATGAATGACACAAAAAAGTTATCTTAAATATATTTTATGAACATGTTAAAACATAGTTAATTGTTTCCAGATTGCTTCTATAAATAATCCGTATGACAACCTCAATTTAAACAGGTTCTAATAATTTGTGTATGACCAGGAATTAAATTCTTAAACGTCCCAACAAAAATATGAATATTAATTATTAATTTATTGATCATCTTTATAGCCCTTGGCTACTTTCTAAATGGCAACTGAAACCAAGAATCTTAATCATATTTTAATGCTGTGTCTTAACTGTCTTAACATACCTTATTATTAGCATTATCATTATTATTATATAATCGTCATTATTATTACATAATATTTAATTGATATGCTGTAATTAGCATAGCTGGCATGTAAAAATGTTACTTAAAATCAAATCTGTTCTTCAGAATATGAACATTTGCTCTGTGTTGTATGTTATTTTGTCAAATGCCGCATCAGAAACAAGATTTGCCATGCCCACTTTTATACTCTTATTTGGGGTAGGGCACTAATGAGTGATAAAAAAAATTATTTTAAGATGTTCAACAAGTAAAATAATCATATCAAATTGTCAAACAGTCCTGGTAGATGATTTTAAAATACTAATATGTGTTATATTATGGTGCAACTTATTTCTAATCCTAGCAATGAAAAAAAGCATGGTAGAAAAATATAATCTTTTTTCCGTCATTTAGTATTCAGATGCTAATTTCTTAAAAATACAAAGAGATTTTGTTCCCAGTTTGGTTTACAATTGTTAAACAAGCATTTCCTCATATAATATCCAAAGGGTAGGTGTAGTCATGCAATCCATTTAACCTTATTAAGCCTCTGGTAGTGCTACTTCAATTAAAAGATAATTAATCACATGCTAATTAATTCGTTAATTTATTCATGTTCGGTCGCGGAACCAAATTTCACAACATATATTTTCAGTTAGCTGACATATTTTCCTACAATATGGTACCAAACACCACTTGTTATACCAGGTGGGTAGCAAACTTTTTTTTTAACCCCCTTATATTCAATTTGTCATCCGGCTATAACTAAAATGGCTGAAAATAAAAGAAATGGACATAATTTTTTGCTGATCTTTTGTAACAAAATTATTATTCATACAACTACTCTTTACATTGACATAGATTTTTACAATGCAGGACACCTGAAATTATTTGTAAAGCTAGGAAATGGGCCAAAATTAAATTTCACGATAAAAATGGCGACCATTTGAAAATAGGCAAGCTTTTGAACCAGGAGTCATAGGGGAAATTTTGTATTGATGTTGAACAAAAATAAATTAAAACTATCCACAGAGGTTTTAAGGCAAATGGTCCAAAAGAGGATTTTGCGAGACAGATGGACAAATCAATGTTAACTGAAATGGCTGAAAATAAAAAAACGGATATAATTTTTTGCCGATTTTTGTAACAAAATTATTTCATACAACTACTCTTTACAGTGACATGACTTCTTACAATGCAGGACACCTGAAATTATTTGTAAAGCTAGGAAATGGGCCAAAAGAGAATTTCTCGAGACAAGAATGGTGACCATTTTGAAAATAGGCGAGCTTTTGAACCAAGAGTCATAGTGGAGCTTTTTGTATCGATGTTGAACAAAAATAACTTAAAACAGGAATCCTATCGACAGAGATTTTATGGCAAATGGTCCAAAAGTGGATTTCGCAAGACAGATGGACAAATCAATGTTAACTAAAATGGCTGAAAAAAAAATGGAAATAATTTTTTGCAGATTTTTTGTAACAAAATTATTTCATACAACTACTCTTTACATTGACATGGATTTTTACAATGCAGGACACCTGAAATTATTTGTAAAGCTAAGAAATGGGTCAGAAGTGAATTTCGCGAGACAAAAATGGCGACCATTTTGAAAATAAGTGAGCTTTTGAACCAGGAATCATAGTTTTCTGTATTGATGTTGAACAGAAATAGCTTAAAACAGGAATCCTATCGACATAGGTTTTAAAACGTGCCACTTTTCTTGAGCAGAGTCCTATGTCCCTAATAAGGACCAGCCTATAAAATTTGAACCAAATCCGGCAACTACTGTAGTATTTGAGATATCAAACATTCGTTAATTATGAAAAATGGTGGCCATTTTGAAAATGCCTCCTTGAGCAGATCTCCTTTGCCAACTATAAGATATTAGCCTATAAAATTTGGACAAAATTTCATTATTTGGTCCATAAATTGTATTTAAGTTATCATAAACTACATATTTTATAAAAATGGTGGCCATTTTGAAATTCAGTTACTTACAGATATCTCTAATATAAAGCAGCATAGCAACAAACACATAGTCCACAAGGTCAAAGGTTGTACTCTCTGCAAACAAGGCATCCCACATGACTAGAAGATCCTGCATCGGAAACTCACGTCCAAACAACAGCCTGATCCAGCGTCTGAAACATAATATTTACGTGCTACTTGTAGAATATCTTAAACATATACAAAATGGACAATCTGGAGAATATCACAGGAGACATTAACATCATCACCTGCCATTTATTAAGATGCCAAACACCAACTGCCAACCGCCAACCACAAAAAAGTTGGAGACTATAACAATGTAAAAAAACACTCATTAGCTATAGGCTCAAACTATTCATATAGCAAGGTTTTGGAGATACATTTTGAGGTACCTTTGCTTTTTAATTTTGGAAATTTTTTTATCACTACCTTTTTTAAAATAAAGTAAAAGTAAAGGCAAACTACAGTGAAAAATAATTGATAAGTCATACATTTGGCATGTTCTCTTGAATTTTAACATCTTATGTCCCAAACTCTTCCAAAGTGCAGAAAAGTGTACGCCGTAAATTATATTTAACCAAAATGAGTGTCCCCAAGGCTTTATACCAGCGTATGTATGATGCATTTGTCACGAGTTTGAGCTCACATTTTGCTAAAATGAAGTAAGGGTAATCTCTGCCAGGTTTGTTTATTGTGGAGCTTTTAATGGTAAGTGCTCAGGAGCAAATAATTCATGTGCGCAAAATATTCAAATAATCTGATTGGTTTTAACTTATAGTGCGCATGCGCACGTACATGTGCCATGTTTTTTTCTAGTGATTTCGTTTCGTTCCATGGAGTTTGTGTTTTAGTGTAACTTCCCTAAAAATGGCCGACCGATGGCAGAATTAACTGGTATAATCACTTAAAATATAAATGATCTTTTTGCCTAAAATAGCAAATATTTTATCCTTGAGATTCTCAGGGTTATATAGGCAACTCCATTTTGGTAGAAGGACTCTGTTTATAGTTAAAACCCACAATTTATTTTTTAATGTTGGCACGGTAATGTTTTTGATTTCATGATAATTGGAAATCTGTCATATGTTACTACCACTGAACATCAATTGCCAAATGCCAGCCATCTTCAAAAAAGTTGGAGACTATAAAAATATGTTAACACAAATATATCTTACATGCCATAGACCTGTGGAGCAATCTCATATTTCTCTAAGTGATTGTACAACTCCATGTCATGTTCACTGAGTATCTCACTTTGTATGATATTAAGTTTGGTTACAATGACATTGGTAGGGTAGTCACATGATGGTTGGGTGAATGGAGTCTTAGTAAACTTCTCTGTTTTGCTGGGCTGCAATATACAATAAATGAAGAATGTTAGTTATTGTACATGTATACAATCATACATATGTTACTAGTTTGTATCAGTACATTTTTCTTTACTCTTAAATCATTATGATTTGATATGGATTTTGATACTGAGATTTAGAAATTGTACACAAATTATCCTCTCCTTAAAGGTACTGATGGACAAAAAAGTTTTTTTTTAAATTGTTATTCCTGCACATGTTACTTTCTGGTACAAAATAAAGTAAAGTATGAAGGCATGTGAGAATTTCCTTGCTTTTTCAGGAAAGTATCATGACATTGTTTCCTTTTAGTAAATTTGGCAGAGGTCAATAGCAATCCAGCATTAATGAGAAGGTTGGAGAAGAAATTAGAACAAGGCATTAACATGACAAAATGTCACCTAGTTGCTCAAATCTGAAATCTAAAGTCAGATTTGAACTTCTGAGAACTTGTACATGATTGGTCAATTAGGAGCAAGTTGAAAAAAGACCGTTTTGACCTTGAGAAGGTCATTGAAGGTCAAATCTAAAATCAGATTTGAGCTTCTGAGAACTTGCAGATGATTTTTAAAAAAATTGGTCAATTTGAAGCAAGTTGAAAAAAGACCTTCTTGACCCTTTTTGACCTTGAGAAGGTCATTGAAGGTCAAATCTCAAATCTAAAGTCAGATTTGAACTTCAGAGAACTTGTAAATGATTTTGAAAAAAAGTTTGTCAATTTGAAACAAGTTGAAAAATTCAAAAGACCTTTTTAACCTTGTCATTGAAGGTCAAATCTCAAATCTAAAGTCAGATTAGAACCTCTGAGAGCTTGTAGATGATTTAGAAAATAATTTAAGTCAGTATAAAACAGTATTTGTTAAGTCATTGGAAGGTGTAAGAATTTATTACAGGTGCCAACCACCAAACACCGACCGCCGTCACAAAAAATTGAGACCATAACCATACCACTTTTGGTGGTGACATAAAAATTAATAATAAAAAGGCAGCCATTTTCTTGAAATATCAGCATTTCTTGGAGTTATTTTTATTCTTTACTAGAAAATAACATGTGAAGGTGTAGCAATTTTTCAAAACTGTTTTTGTTCATCCAGTACCTTAATGAAAATACTTCCCTGTTGATAATTTGACCTCTGCCTAAATAAAGGTGTTTTATATTACTAGTCCATACCTTGGCAGGATAGATGTCTCTAGAGACATACCATGGTTCCACTGTATCCATCACCTTACAGAACAAGGCACTACAAGACAAAACATGGCATTAAAGGCCCACTATACTTAATTTAGAAGAAAAAATAAAAAAAATAATCACTGAAACATGTTACTCAGACACTCACCCAAATATGACACAAAGTTTGATTTGCTTTAATATTGAACCAAGAAAAAAATAACTTGCATAGAAAAGAGCATTTGAAGTTCAGAGATCATTAGACATGCATGCACATGTTAAACAAAGTGCATGTTTTAAGTACCTGTTGATCTTAAAGATGGCATCACTTCTATAAAAATGAATGTATCATGTAATACAAACAACTTCGCCATCTTTCAATGACATTGATAAAAACTTGATAAATAAAAAAAGGTCAAGGACAGCTGTAGTGGCGGGAAATCAGCAAACAGTAAGTCACTGACGAAGGATGTAGTCACATCCGAAAGCTATGAAAAAGTAAAGAAATTTCTCAGGTTAGTTAGAGGAACCTTAAATTATTATTATTAGAACTAACAGATGAACATCTTTGGCACTATTGATAAATAAAGGTTGACAGATCGAATATATTTTTTGATAATTTATTGTAAGCTTTGATGTGGTCCATTTTAGCTGTTGTTGGGGTCAAATGAAAGATAAGGTTCTTATCAATACATTGGACATACTATGAAATTCAAATTTAAGTCTTTATTTTGCCCAAAAACGTTGAAAATTCGCAAACTTGGGCCTTTAATAAGATAAAAGGTGACCACCTGATACATTGTTACAAATGTGTAACTATATGTTACAGATGGCACTGATAAATGACATTTTAGTCACAAAAAAATCTTCAATTAATATCTTGTATTCATAAAATATTTTAGATTTGAGAAACAATGTCTCCATTCATCAAAATAAAAATGTTATATACAGTGCTTCTTTTATAGAAAAATCATTAAGATATTTGTTGAATAAAGTATTGATATTTTGGAAAAGAAAAGAGTGAAAATGGTCGAAAAAGATTCACAATTACGTAAAGAAATTGGGCTTTGATTTTCTTTGCAGTTCTACTTACTATGCATCATGTTCCAAATATTGTGGGTTGAGTACTTCTTTAACTAGTTCCCTAAAAATAATAAAAAGTAAAAACAATGTCATCGAATGTTACATACATGTACATGTTATATGTCATGAGGAAGTACATGGCCATGTATATATATAAGTTTGTGGTGTACATATTGAATACAAATATCAAGAATTTTAATAGTCTTGTTTCTTCTAAAGGCCATTTCTCAAAAAATTTGGAATATTGACTCATGAAATTAAATAGTATTTTACAATATTATAATAGTTACATCATGAAAGACATTAAAATTCAGTAAAAGGAGTCTGTGATATTTGAGAAATGGGCCCCTGGATATAAAACAATCTCCAGCATCAGTGTTCATTCTTGGATTTCTTCTCAACTATTCATTTATACAATATACTAAACTACTATATATTTCTACTCCATTGATCAATATAGACTAATAGTATCTTATCTGAAGGAAAATTAAACAATCGTTTTCATTTTAAAGATGATATAATCAATGAATATGTAATTTTAGAGGGTTATCTCACACATATTATAATCAGGCATTATTTGAAATCACACTCGGGAAATGATATCTGACTGGGATATAAGGCTTCTCTAGACTTCAACTGACATGGTTGTCAGTTCCAACAGGCATGTAGCCAGGGTGGTTCGAGCGAAACCCCCCCCCCCTGGCCAAAATTTCTTTCAAAATCATGCAGTTCTTCACCATTCTTAGTCTTACTATTTTTTTGTGATTTTTGGCCAAATTTGCCCAAGTGAACCCCCCAGAATTTTTGGGAAAAGTGAACCCCCCCTTGGAAAATTCTGGCTATGGGCCTGTCCAACCTCATTGACCTCGTTCCTTCCACCCAAGCCACATTATCACAACGCGCAAATATCGGCTTTTAGCCGCAAACCACCAACTCTTCTCTCCTGAACTTATTTCTCCACTCGCGTATTGAGACATTCGCGTTGTGAGAATGTGGTTCGGATGGAAGGAACGTGATCAACCATGTCAGAACTGATGATCGCGTGAGTCAAAGTCTACACAGCCAATATAATTCGCGCCGTTTTGGCATCGAAAAAATTCGGCGCTGTTCTGGCACCGTTCCGGCACCAAAACCTTTTGACACCAAAATTTGCCACCGGACTAGTCAGTCCATTTGGTTCCGTTTCGGCACCGAAATTTGGAACCGAAACGGTGTCGAAAATCAGATTGCATTTTGGGGGTGTAGGAGACCTGAATATTATGCACACTAATGCACATGTTAGTTATGTTTTTAATTATTTCATTATGCAAATTACATGTTACTTCAGTCAAGTGCATAGCTTCATGAAAATTTAAGTAATTTTCAGGTTTTAATCTCTCAGCCAGAATCGCACGGACTTAAAATTCAATCATGCAATATGCGTAACAAAATATATATTAAATGCTTTCACCATCAGGTTGACCAAGACCCATTATTTAAACAAAAAAATGAATGGCTTAATTAAGTACATCTTATATCTTAATATGTGTAGGTTAATACTTTATTTAGCACACATCCAAAACTGTTCCATTTAATAACATGATGAAGGTTAGGAAACAAAAGCTGCAAAATTTAAGCTAGAAAATGGAAAGAAGGGGTTAACATTTCCATAAATCCTGTTAAAGTAAAACCCTAGGTCACCAGGTGAGAACAATTTTTTGGTACAGTATGTCTTAGAAAAAATAAAAATTATGAAATGTTCCAATTATATGGAGAGTACATGTATTGTAAATAAGGTAGGGTTAATCAAGTCTGATCCCCAAATTAAAAGTGGTTTTTTTTCTTGAAAATTGCTCAGTGGACTCAAACATTTTGAAGAATCAGAAAATGTGAACTTTACAAGTAGTGATATACATAATATATAGTACTCATATTTAGAGGTTATGCCACCATGACGTGAAATATGCCTGGGTTCTCCCAATATAAGCCGACCTTGGTAGGCTCTATATTTGGGCAAGAACGAAGGCATATTTCACATCATAGTGACATAACTGATGTATTACATACCTTTATTCCCTTGGCAACTTTGTATCAATGTGTCACACATTTGTGTGCTAGTAGAATTTGATGGAAATGAAGCATGACATCGTAATATTGTCATGGTTATTATAGAAATGGTTATTATCTAATATCAAAATGAAGTAAGGGGGCTATAGCGAGGTAAACGGGCAATATCAGTGGATATAGCCCGCTAACTGTCCCATTCACTTCCATAAAAATGCTTCACTAGGTATGTAATACAAACAAATATGGGACTGAAAGGTGTTGACATATAAATGGAATATTTCATGAAACACTTGACCTAAAAGCCTTATATAGTTTCAGTTTGGTCTCTTCCACATTCAAGAACAAACCAAAACCATCAGATACAATTAAATAGCCTAGGGGTATGGGAAGAATAACTAAAGTATAAAGTGGCTATATATATATATTATTTAGCAGAAAATATAACTATATCAATTCAATATAGCCTCTTTAATCAAATAAAAAATAATTGTGTCTGGATCATATACCTTTGATGTTCACTTAATCCACTTCATAAAAGAAAAATGAAATAGTCTTTAAAAACTGAAAATCTAAGTTGCTATGGTACAATATTCAATGAAGGTAGTGGATTTCTCAATGATGTGATATACAAAATGTGCATTTGTGGCATTCAAAAATATTTAGATAATTCCAAGTAGTCATCGAACAAAATATTTACAAAAACGTAAAGTCAAATAAACTGTTTGTCTTGGGCAATAGTATCATTTGTATGTCTGAATTTGTTTTATTTCAGATGTTCCAGAAGTTCATTCTTTGGAATAATGAAATTTTAACTGCACATTACGTAAAGCAAACATCTGTAAGATGTCCAACATCCAAATATATAACTGAAATCAGGCACTGAGCTAAGAGACAGTCAACTGGTCTTTCTTTTGAAACTGACTAGCTGATATTTCATTACATGACACTGCAGCTGGTTTTTAAGACCACATTTACCAGCTGCTCTAAAATTCTTAGCAAAATCCCTGATTTATCTAAGTGTATACATATTTGTAATGAAAAGCAAACTGGTGTGTGAAAATAATCACATTATAACATATAAAAAGCATCATGTGAGATCAGTCACTGTTCAGTTCCTTTGTAGACATATTCAGTTCCTTTGTAGACATATTGATAGTTCGTAAAGAGAAATATAAATATGTACTGTACATGTAAACATATACATGTATTTTCTACGCAAATATATACATGTACTGTATTAAAATGGCAAAGGTTACTTACGAGACTTGCTCCAGCTCTGTGGCATGTTCAAATGCTTGGTGATCACAATGTAGTACAAATATGAATGGGGCCAATAACTCATGCATTCCCTGCAAAACAAAATACACATACAAGTACAAGGGGTGATCAAAAAGTAATGAACAAAATTTCATACTCATATTATGCCTGTAGAACAGAAAAAACATACATGTAGAACAGAAAACACATACATGTATTATGCATGTAGAACAGAATACACATACATGTATTATGCATGTAGAACAGATTGTACTTCTGTTGATAACAAAGCATAGAGATCACAACTGACTTATGCAATCCAAATCAAAAACAGCTGATATGAAATATTACCATGTACGAGTATTTTGTTTTTGGCTTGCAAATTTTAAATTTTATTTAATTTCATGGAAATATTTAGATGGCAAAATGTCATTGAATGCAATTCGTAAATGTAAAGGGTGACCCAAACAATGTATATAAAATAATTTCATCATTAGTCATTTTTCAATTGTATAATAATGGGCCCATGGTCATCAAATAAAAAATGGAAATAATGAAGCCTAGATCAAAAATAAAATAATGATCAGACACATGTGTAGTATCAAATAAATAATAAAATAAATAAACAAACAAAAAATATAAAACCACTAAAACCTTAAATAATAGTTTCTAGCCAGTTACCAAGACAACCTTAAATCATAGATTCTAGCCAGTTACCTAGACAACCATATAATACCTTAACATGAAGCATAATTATGTGAGAATTATGTAAATGGCGATGTTTTTCATATATTATTAATCCATGAATGAATAAGAACAATAAATAAAAAAAAAATGTTTTGTAAAAATTGAAGATAACTACATCATCAAAATGGCAATAATCACAGACACCAATAGACTGGATGAGAGTAGAATACATATAATCTTGATTTATGTCATCAAATTCAGTCTAAGTGATGTCATATTTGAAATCTAGAAACATGGTTTTGAAAATTGTTTATCAACTTTGAAAATTCAATTTTCTTTGAAAATGTGACTCCTAGGTCGGGTTGATTCTCCATTGACCCCATGTTGCAAAATCACATAAAGTGAAATATCCTTTCTTGTATTGGACAGATAACATTTTCTTTTACTGGACATACGAGTCACCTGGCAGTGAAACTGCTAACTACCTACTCGCATCTGCGTTATTCAGACTGAAGAAGTTAGATGAAGATTCAGACCTGTTTATAAGAAAGCTTGTGATGTTTACGACAATGACAGAATAGAATGTTAACCATCATCTCTTCAATCTTTTCCTCCTTAAAGAATTCTATCTCAGGAAAACTAGAAATATATAAAATAAAACAAAATCATAAAACCACGCAATGATTAGGGGTGAGTTAGAAATGGCTCTTTGAGAATGTCAATGTAATAGTACAGTAAAACCTGTAAACGTTATTGCTCTATATTAAACACCTTCATCAAAGATTCTAGAATTATGCAGGCAAAAAATTGAAATTATGCAGCAAAATGCAAAATTATACGGGGAAATGCAAATTATGTAGCCCGGCCCCATTTTACCATATGGACTGCCATTTCCGGTATAAATGATTTAAACTTTTAGAGTTTTTGTTAATTTACCTAATATAATAATTATGAGGAAAATGAGCATTGAAACATCAGGCGAGGTATTCTTTGAGAAAAGGGTAAATTATGCGCTGATGACTGAATTATGTGGCATTTCTAGAAATTCAAAATTATGCAAAATTAAAATGTGTCGCGTAGAAATGTAATTCTAGAATCTGTGCTTCATGTGTAAAGTACTGGTCCTAGATGCAATCACATGGTAACAGGTTATACTGTGAATAAAAATACTGGAATACAATGTATAAACAAGTAGATAGGGTCTCCAAACAAAAAGAACAGGTATTCCAATATTACTTATTTCTGATAGGACATCAATATGCTGCAACTTGTATGAAAACAATAAGTGATCGGAAGATGCCAGAGTTTGGTATTAATGGTATAACATTAAAAAACTGCATACCCAATGTACACATGCATGCTGGATAATGTGAATACACATAAGATTTGGAAATTAAAACCTGAAAAATCTAAAAAAAAATGATTATGACAATGTGATGATGCTTGCGACATGTACTACACTACAGCCGATCTATGCTATAATCTACAATATAGCTAAAATCAAAATAAATAAAATCTACAAACTCAGATTTTGGGCTATCATCAAAACATATAATACAACATAATGTGATTTCTAAAGAGTCACAAACTAATACTTGATAATCATAATCATATTTATGCTACTGTCTTTTGAGTCTGTCTACAGTTGTGAAATAAAGAAGTTCATTATATTATGGGTATGGTGCAAATGATGGTTTTTATTAATGTAGAATATTGACATCAACTGCAAATCAACATTTTCAAAATTTTGTAAAAGGGGTTAAGCCATAATGGAATTAACTTCTATTTTCTACAAATGTTGACAATTAGACACAATACCTTAAGATGAAACAGAATGTGGATTGAACAACAATAAGAGGCTTGCCATTATATTGCTAGGACCTTAACCTTTTTCTGGGTTTGAATACAGAAGGAAAATGGCAACATTCAGTGGGCTCATATGTTGAAAAAGCTGAAGCAATAGCAACATCTGGGAAACATAGTGCAAATTACCAGCATGAAACCCATAAAATGGATATGAGCACTGGGTCACATAAATGGCAATTTTCATTGTCTGGATTAAAATAATATTCTGAGCCCAGGGTCAGTAAATTTTTACAAATTTATCATGGGATATATGTGAAGATTTATCAGGAAAAAATACTTTGAAAATAGGATCAAATTTTCCAAAAGTTTATGGAATTCTTTAAATTGTACAAATCACATTGATTGTGGTAAAAAGATAAGGTCCCCATAACATAATGATCCATCGCTAAATACAGAATAGTTAATACACTCATCATGCTGGTTCATCAATATACCTGTCTGTATTGCACACCAGGGTTTAGTTTAGCATATATGAACAGTGAATCCACCATCATGGTCCTTATATGGTCCCCATGGAAGAACTCAATCTTAGGATACCTACATATACATTTACCATGAAACATATTGTAACACTAATCTATAGCTATTAGATAACATTTCTTCTTGGTGTCAAATTAATATAAAACATTTTGGGGCATTTTCAGCATTAAATGTTTCTAGGTATTGCCTCATATATAGTCTTTGGCAGTTGGTATGAATTTTAACTCATGTACAAAAACATCTCATATTTAAAATAAAAAGATTATTTAGTAAAAATGCTCCACTTACGTTCGAACAACATCCTGTTTTATTGTGAGTCTCAATTCATTGTCAAGGAAGAAACGATTCCAAGGACTCTGGGAAGAAATAATGATAACATCATCTCAAAATACAGTCACAGTCAAAATTGTGAATAAATTAAGTAGTGAAACAAAAGCCAATAACCCAGATGCGAGTAGAAATAATCTTGATTTACGTCATTAAAAATCATATTTGAAATCTACATGTAAAATTACATCTAGAAATGTGGTTTTAAAAAGTGTTTATCAACTTTGAAAAATTACTTTTCTTTGAAAATGTGACTTCTAGCTCGGGGAGATTCCCCACAGACCCCATGCTATAAAACCACAAAAAATGAAATATCTTTTCTTCTAGTGGACAGATAATATTTTGCTTTACTGGACATATTTTCAGTAGTATAAGTATTAGACACATAAGGGTTATATGAAAATTGAGCCACTTAAATTGATAATATTCAAGTTTAAGGGAACTTTCTTATATACCTGCCATGTTAATTGACCCGAATCAGCCACCTGGTGGTGAAACTGGTAACTACCTACTCGCATTTGGGTAATTGATTTGAGTTGCTCAGTGCAAAAGGACCAAACACAAATTACATTTTTCATGCTTTTATAATAATTTCTGCACTCCTGACATTTCGCAACTAGATAAGAAGAGAAAATCCTATGATCTATAATTGATATGATTTTTATCCATGAATGTGTATGTTCTACAACTATAGGTTGAGAAGTTCAATGTTGATCTCATAAATATTGATAAAGAATCTATTTACCTCATCAATTTGAGAGAGAGGGTTGTTCACCACTAGATTCTCCTCAACGCTATCTGACCTTGGATTAATTATGTACTGCAATTAAAAGTTTTGATAAATATAGACAAGGCATTAACATGCAAAATGTCACCACCAGATATTTATTACAGATGCTGAACACAAGTAAAAGTGATATCGATATGATATCATTTTGAATACCTAATGATTAAAATAATGATTATTATTTACTTGTGATCTAGTTTATTATTACTGAAAAAGCGATAGCTGATCACTTTAAATGAATATCCTTAGTTTTATTATATTACACATGTATACTGGGTAAAAGTGGCAATATTGCTGAGATGAAAATTTACTGCTTTTGCTCGAAATTCAAATTAACAAAAATTCCTTCTTCCTAAAATCATAAAATTATAATCCTCTAATAAAACAAAACAAAAAATTCTGGAATGTTACAACCAGTGACCATAAAATTATTTTAGGCTATATTTCTTCTCATACAATATATGAAATTAGAGAATACCTTTCTCCTCATATGGTCATAGTCAGCCCTTCTTTGGCGTGTCTCAGAGATCCAATCATCGATGTTCTCTGGTAGAGTCTCCAAGTATAACTGAAATATGTTGAAATATCCATTGCAACTTTTTTCAACTCAAAATTCAGTTTCTGTATGAAATATTGTATGACTAGCACTACTTCCAAAAATGAAACTCAAAATGTTTATTTTTCTACTTTCACCTGTCAAAAAGGTTGGAAATGTTCACAGATAATTCAATAATTAATTCTAATTAAAATTCAACAATGGCAGAACACTCTCATAAAAACAAATTGTGTATCTTCTGTTCATATAGATCACTCAAAAGTGAATAGTTTTGGGTAAAAAAAACTGCAGTGTTAATATTTGTAATAGTTTTATGACTGGATCCAATGATCAATAGTGTTATGTCCTTCCCTTGTTAGGCTGAACTTCAGGTCATGAATTCAATGTACATTGTAGTCCCAATATGTAATTAACAACAATTCAGAATGAATCTCTGATATCCTCCAAAAAATGTCATTGAAGATTTATTGATCATTTTCAAATCAAACAACATCTCTTAAACAATGTGTACCTAACAAAACTTGACTATCATCCTCTCCCAAACCTAATTAATTATTTTGGCATATGTCAATATTTGACTATTTCCCCCAAGAAAGTTTCCTTTTTTATATGTACCTTCCAACAGACACTTCTGAATCTACTGCTACGTAAGTTGCCCTCCAGACCTTGTAGCTTCAGATCTTTCAAGTAGTTGGGACAATGGAACATCCTATCCCACTCAGCACTGAAACATTGGAAAGACATGTAGCCCTTGGGCAACACTTTTTAAAGATTTGCATCTCCAAAAATAACCTGTCTATAATATTTTACTCTTAGTCTCTATGTTTCAGGGTAGTCTAATGTCAGGAAAAGATCCTTGTTTCTAGTCAGCCAAAGTTTAAGTTTAACACTTGTCCAATAGGTCTTCTATTTAGAAATTTTTGGATTTCTAGCACAAAGCTGGATCAATTGAAAAGTTAAGCTTTCACTTGTAGCTTGTCGCAAATGCAACTTTCAGCTATCAGTTACCAGATTAACCTAATATTTTATGATGACCATCTCATTTAATTAAATAGGAATGGAATAGTGGCAGGTACTATTCATATTTAAATGAGTTGACCATAACAAAGTAGGATAATCCGGTAGCCTACAGCCGAAAGTTGCATTTGTGAATACAAGCTAAATCTTACCTATAAATATGTATATTTAGAGACAGTGTGAAAACAATTCATTTAAATACATGTTTTATATTTTAAGTTTGTATACTGTATTTTGTATATTCATCATCATGATAACTTGATTTCTTCAATATATTGAAAAGCTAGTGTGAGCTGAAAACCCATGATTATACTACACAAAAGTAATATTTACCTATAGCTGTTAGAATGACTAGATCTTCTTGACGAGTTTTGAGAATTCAACATATCTGTTTTCTTCCCTGTTTCTATGGCAACTGTTGCATCCTCAACCAATACCATTCCATTTTCAGTTTGACTGGTTATCATAACATTGCGCTCTGAAACACACGATCATCTTGACAATGAATAACATCCTTTTTATATAAAAGCACTGAATCCCACATTTCATTACATATTATTTTTTTCGTATTTCTCGCTTCGATGATGACTTTTGAGAGTCTCTCCGGTCTCCAGTTAAATCAAGATTAATGATTTTCTACTGAAGATAATTCCAATGAGCTACACATACAGTCTGCACCTGATTCTATAATGCCAATTGAGAGGATTTGTATGATGTAGTACTATCAATTCATACTGCTATTACCAGTATATAGCTCTGAATGCAATAATATATAGTAATTCCTATTATTGATAGGAGATGCGGGCTTATTTGGAGGTCACCATAAACCCATATCATATTTTGCAATGAGGAAATTCAAAATAGCTGGCATTAACCTGGTATAGCCTTTTTATTTTTTCGTGAAGCCACTCAGTAAAATTTCTCTGCAACCTGATGTCCAATCAAGATCATTCAAGTATCTATGTGTTCCTGATTCGTTTGGGCGTCCGAGAATAACAACGTCTACAAAAAGTTTGCACGCGAAATTGACGTAATTCATGACTGAAATCGGGAAGACAAAATTTGAGATTCACAAACAAAATTGCTTGTGAAAATTATTTACAAAAGTGTTCCAGAGACTCTTATCTACTTGGCTAAGGTTTTATTTGAAGATACATTGCCGTATTAAGCAGGTAGAGGGGCATACAGGACACAGAAGCAAATGCTATGTTGAAAATGTGTCTTGGGAACATTTTTGTAGATAGTTATTATAAACAATTCTGAAAGAATATCACATATTTTTGTCTTAACAATTTCAGTCATGAATTACGTCAATTTCGCGTGCAAACATTGGGTAGAAGTTGTCATTAAGGGATGCCCAAACGTGTCAGGAACACATTAATACTCGAATGATGTTGATTGGACTTCAGGGTGCAGAAAAATCGTAATTTTACTGAGTGGCTTCATGAAAAAATAAGCAGCACTTTAAGCCAAAAATTAATCAAGCTAAAAACCTTGGTCATGAATAAGAAAAAGAAAACTGATCACAATACTGTATAGCACCCAAGGGTGTGATAAAATTGCCTAAATAAAGTACCTATTGTCCCTATACTCACACAGTTCTGTATTCCATACTATATGAGCCTATGGACACAAAATGTGACTTTAGACATCAAAATTCCCATTAACATTTGACAGATTCTAAGGATTAAATTTTGAAGTTTAAAACACATAGTCAAACAAAAATTCATACCATGAAATAAAATTTATAATAAAGGCATTCAAAAGCAAACTTAACCATGTACAAACCTTGGACAGGTGAAGGTTCAAAGCTATCAATAGCCGAGAGGATGTCTTCATGTGAGGCTGGGTTTGGAAGAGCCTCATTTTGCCGCAGCTTGGACTTACTCATCTTGTGTGCTTGTTACTTCTCTTAGTACAATGTAGATCTCTATCAAAGAAACCAATGTATATCCTTACTGGACATTTCTGCTTTCTTGATTACTTTTATGACCATTCTGAAAAAATAAATAGATTAGATTAAGATATTTCTGAGTTCTAATATCAAGCCTCTCCTATGCAACCTGCCTCAAAGGTCCATGTGCAGTATGGCAAGTGATTTGAGATGGCCATATCTTTCACAATGAGTACTTTCTGGGCAAAAATACAGTGGTTTTTATTAAAACAATATGTTTTCTTTACAGTGAAGTTCACATGATGATAAAAATATCAATCGAACAATTCGAAAAATTATAAATAGGGACCCAAGTCAACGATTTTTTCAAAATGTTGAACTTATTTGCTCAAAAGAGGATCCTCTTTTTCTGATTTTTATTGCATGAAAACAATATTCAACAAGGGGTCTAAAACATTGGCAAATTACCACTTTGTGTAAAACTATCATAAAGTAAAAAAATGAATATTTTGCATGAGGCTTAGATAGTCTTCAATTCTTTGTTTCCCATCAGGTGAAAAAACATTATTTTCTTGTTCTTGTACTATCTGTATTGCTATTGAGATTGTCCCCGTTGATCATCTCCGTCGCAATACAGAAAATATTGGTACGGAGGGGACAATCTCAGTAGCAATACAGAGGATCACACAATAAAAACGTTATTGAATGAGACGAAGTCTAGTGCCAATACAGAATATCGAGACAGAATATATGCTGTATTGCACTTCAAATCATTCAATAACTTAAAGTATAGAAATCCTATCATTCATAAATCTTAGAATATTCTCTATTAACATTTATTTTCAGATACCTCATTCATTGTGCTACATCATTGGTAGCGAGAAACACCCTCTAATAAATTAATTTTGCAGAGCAATGTTTCAATAATACTCAATACATACTCTTCTATTGTGAATACCAAGTAAATTTAACCTGTGCAAGTGGAACACCTTTGGTTCTTCAGAACAGTATTCCACTTGAGGATTTGAACTATGTATTGTTGAATATAAAACACTGATAACGAAAGCAAACCCCTTTAACAGCAACAGAAAATTTGTAAATCAATATTGAATTCTAATGTCATTATGACCTGCCATTTTGATCACGGTACGGCTAATTTTAAACAGTAAGAACAACATTAGGAGGGCAAGTATACAGCAAAAGCAGTGTAGCAGTAATGAGGAATCAATATTTTATGTTCTCTGAAACAGCTCAAAAACTTTGATGCCAAAGAGAACTCTGCCTCAGAAAGCCCAGCAATTATCAAAGAGAATAACAAGATCACAGAGCCGTACCCTAGCATTTGAAAGAAGGCTGACTAATTTTATTACAACTTTACATAACAGGATCAAACTTCAGGACAATGCTAAAGACCTTGATAATCATCAGAGATACGTCCATGATACTGTCCAAACTATTTGTAATAAACTAGGAGAGCAATTCCCAACATTCAAAATTCAGGATTGTGGTATTCTACCAAATGGAAGCTATTACCACAAGACAAAGATACTGAAAGCTGATGAGTTTGATTACCTGATCCCTCTTGCTCTTGCATTAGACAAAGATGTTGCCATTCAACACAAGTCCATCACAAAGCTTGAAGTAGACATCCTAAGTGACACCCTAATTGATGTCATGAATGCAACATGCAGTGAACTTAAGACAGTCAAGATAAATGCTGTAAAGGATGGCAAACTACCAGTTGGTATCACTAAATATCTCCGTAAAGCTATTGCTAAATGCTTAACTATACTGCACCATGAAGGCAAGCTTGACTATAAAGGTGAGACAGATATGCGAGATGATTCTTCAGGCAAATCTGAGATGTTATTGGACAAACAGATTGAACTGGACACAGGTCTCCATGGCCCATGTGTAAGATTAAGGCTCAGTGGCCCATTGTGTGTGGCCGATGTCGACTTAGGATTCTGTATGATTATACCCAAATCTAACACAAATGGTGGTTGCTACGTCGCTTTACCAATCCAACCTAACTGGGTGAAGTCCTTTTATGAATACCCAGAGAATTGTAGAGTCGATCAGCATCATTGTATGATTGTTATGACATTGAAATACATGATACATGTATGTAATAAAGATCTTCCAACATGTTACAGCTCTTTTGCAATAACTACGATTGTCCATAACCACCAGAGAAAATGTAACATGGAAGACCATGCAGGTAAAGAAAGAACATTAGGGAATTGCTTGCGTGATATAGCAAACTTTATGTTCAAAATTAGTGGCTTAAAAGAACATGGCAATACAGTAACAGTTGGCAGGAAATGGGAAAATGATCTGCCAAATATTGACATCAAAAGGGTAAATCTGTTTGAATCGTTTTGGGTAATGGATCAATTATTTACACTGTTTCTCTATACATGGCTTGAATTCCTGAAATCTTCTGATGAAAAAAAATATTCAAGTGAAAGCTATTGTCAACAACTTAAAACACTTTGTCAAAATATCACACTTGAGTTTATTAAGGAGAATAAGCTCCAATATCCAGAAAAGTGTGAAAAAATTTCTATGGAAGATCCGTATGAAATTCTCAATCACCTTTCCTCTCATCTGTCAATTTTATCACAAAAAGAGATCACATTATATATAGGCAATTTAATAAAATACTGTACATGATTCCAAATGTAAACTGTGTGTTCCTTTAATTTAATGAATATATATTAGCAATAACAATCACTTTGTGCCATATATATAAACTATAATACAACATAACCATAACTTGTAATGTTAAGACACGTAAATGTTGCAATGACACATAATGATCTGTCACTTACCAGAACAGCATCCATATATAATGATAGTATACTCCCTGCCACAAAACACAAGTACACTGCAAATAAAGGCAAGACTTTTTTGAGCTTTGATATTTTCAGAAAAGATCTACCTAAGACTATTGATGATGCAACTTATAAAATACAAGGCATTAACATGCAAAATGTCACTACCTACCAATTGTTACAGACACAAACCACTAAATACCAACAACCGACTGCCGAAAACCATCCATAAAAAGAGACATTATGTCACCACTTCTGGTGGTAGCATAATAAATCAAATACATTAAATACATTTTGGATTTATTTAGGATTAGAGTGTGCTCTAGATCCTTTTAAGGATGACTTAAGTGACACTTCACATCCATGGATGTATCAATGTATAGATCACTGCCAATGACGTAAATAGAGCACTTTGACCTTCTAATCTGCCATTACTTCCTCTCAATGGCAGGAATATTGGATCTGCAGCAGAGCATCATTTATCAGAGAGTGGATAGATGTGTAGGAGTAATAATTGACAAGGCTCTAGAGATATGTTTTATCTACACCTTTTTAGCTCATTGCGATTGGACTTCCAATACAAATTCCATTGTAAGCTGTGTTGTGCATTGCGATAACCGGGGCCCCGTTTGTCTTGATCTTTCTAAACGACAGATAAGAAGGGGTCTGCTAAACCAGGATGTGTGTAGTGCATTCCAATAAACAGTTCCTAAATTTATCCCAAATGTTGTCTTATAACTTAACTATAAGTAATACAGAACCCAGACAGTTATTTGAGTGTTATATTTCTGAATATCCTTTCTCAAATGTGACATGTGACCAAGCCCATAGCAGGAGGGAGGTTTGGGGAGTGTGGGTGAACCCACTTGAATTTTGGGAGAAAATTGTCAAATGTGACCCCCCTGAAATTTTCCAGAAAATGAATGGTTATGGTCCTGGCGACTGTCCGGGGTACTAAATAATACAGCTGCTTCACCAGATTAGACCTAATTACTCTCTCTACCATTACAGAATCATTGATATTCATAATTTTAAGAATCAGTATAAGATAATTGATCATTACTGATTCTAATTTGATATTTCCCATAATTGAATTATGAAGAACTGGTACAAGACCTGAACATTATAAGATATTGATTTGATTCCGGTTGAAGGATGTGAAGTAATATATTGATATCTGGTCTATATTAGGTGCCAGAATATCAGGCATCATGTAACATTTTACAATAAATCCTGCATATTGAAACACCTCTTACAATAAATCCTGTATATCAAAACACCTCTCTAATCTGAATACCACTCAATGCACACTGGCGGATCTGAAAAAAAATTTGGCCCAAACAAAATTTAGGGCAAAAAAAGGCCTTAAGGTCCCAAAAAGTGGGCCTTTTGTCATTAGTAGGCCTTGTAAGGCGTTATTTTTTAATTTCAGGCCAAATTTTGAAGAAAATGGGCCTCAAAATTTGGGCCCACTTTTTGGTTTTGGGGCCCAAAATTTTTTTCCGCGGAAGATTTGTTCTCTGACTGGAAATTTGGGCCCCCCCTTGTTGGTTCCCAGATCCGCCCCTGATGTAAATGCTTTTTGCTTACATTTTTTAATCTGCATTAGGCCTATACAGTACTTCTATGTTAAAAAACCCCAAAGGGATAACCTCAAGGTGAACAAAACCTGCCAATCTAAACACTTTTGACCAATCTCAATGCAGTTCCAATTAGACAAGGATTAACTGTGCTTTATTTGATAGACAATGATTTGCTAAATGATAATCTAGATGGGGATTTAATCAAATAAAACAGTCTCATGTAGATTACTCTTAAGCCAAAGGCTAGTTGTAATAAGATAAGTGAAATCTCTTCAAAAACAGTCTATAAAAATACCATGAAAATCATTAAAATATAGGTTAGCCAGCAGTCAGTTTGACTCTATGGAATATTGTCATTTTAATTATTAAAGTTGGAATCAGATCTAGCAAAGAGTAGTTAGTATATAGAGTAGTATAATGACAATTATTGTTTCAATTTTAGAATATTTTGGGCTCATATCATTCCTAATTGTTATGTCTATTTTCTAAAAATACCTAAAGTGTTATACTGCATTTGAGGAAAACTAAAGATTTTTAGAAGAATACACTCACTTTTCTATTCTATGGTTTCCATTTTTATTGGAGAATTTGAACATTTTTGCACTTTGAATCCTTAAAGGCCCACTTTACGTATTTTCAACGTTTTTGGACAAAATAAAGATGTACATTTGAATTTCATATTATGTCAAATGTATTAATTAGAACCTTATCTTTCATTTGACACCAACAACAGCTCAAACTGACCACATCAAAGCTTACAATAAATTATCAAAAAATATTTTCGATCTGTCAAGCTTTATATATCAAGTTTTTATCAATGTCATTGAAAGATGGCAAAGTTGTTTGTATTACATGATACATTCATTTTTATTGAAGTGCCTTTTAAATCAACAATAATTTAAACATGCACTTTGTTTACATGTGCATGCATGTCTAATGATCTCTGAACTTCAAATGCTTTTTTCTATGTGAGTTATTTTTTCTTGGTTCAATACTTAAAAGCATATCAAACTTTGTGTCATATTTGAACGAGTGTGTGAGTAACATGTTTCAATGATTTTTTTTTTTTAATTTTCTACATTATCAAGTATAGTGGGCCTTTAATAACTTCACCAATATTCATATCCCGGATCTTTTGGGAGATATTATATTTGAGATTGTAAGGAATATATTGGTAGGTCAACTGTACATCTTGCTTACACTTTTGTCATGCCCTATAGATCTGACTATGCCTTTAAGGATTGAGTGTTTTCACATTAAAATAAACAATCACCATTCCTGTAATAATATTCATATGCACTCTCGATCGATTTCATATGTTCAATACTGATAATGTGTATGATGGAAAGATAAGTTTTAACTGAGAAAATGCTTTAGTCCATGTCGGAAAAACATTGTGGGTATTTGTCACATTATAATACTTGAGATACAAAAACAAATAGTAGGAGCATTAATTTACTGTCTGACAAGTGAACATTATATTTCAATATATCATTACAACCAATTTGAACAATCAATGATATCTTCTGTGAATTGCCTGCTGGAACTGAAGCAAGAAGATGTATAAAAGAACCCTCTAATTAAGTTATTTTTCTATGACGTAAGCAATGTCAAACAAGTTATCTATCACAGAATGACTTACAGTATAAAGAAAGGCTGCTACAAATTAATAACAAAAAGAAATCTGTTCAGCAAATTTAAATTTGGCAGTGTAACTCATTTTTATTCTATAGAGACCAAACACATGTATTTCTTATTCCAACTACAATTTCTAGTTGCTCACGTTTCTTAAACCCAAGCATGGGCTACGGGCCTGATAGGTTTACCTCTGAGTGGACATTTTCTCGTGAGAAAGCAAAATGGTGGCTAGGTCTGTCCCTCGTATGATCCAAACATTCGTGATGTAAACCAAAAGTTAAAATAAGTACATCACATGTATGTTGTTTGTTTGTTATTTTATGATATATTATATATGTGTTATATATTTGTTCTTATTCGTTATTAGCTGAATGACAAACTTGAAAGAAATTATATGGAAGCATAATAAGTTTATAACACTTTTAATTTGGAATGAAATATACATTATTGAATAACAAGATATTCACCAAATCTACCATTTCTCTTTTATGTTACATTTTCAAACAGAACATTTCCTGGTGCATATACTTGGAAAATGTCTTAAAGACAGACAATTAGATTGTATGGGCCTAATGATAGCATGTATTGAAATGTTCAGAAGACTTACTATTGATTCCACCACCAATAAACTCACATAAGGCAATTACAAGTTCATACCATCAAAATATATTGCAGTCAAATGGAACTTACCCAAGCTTGCATAAATTGATCAATAAGACATAAAAAAGGCTTCACAGGATAGGAGCCTTGCATGCATCTATGAATATTGATTCTAAAATACAAACTTAGAGGTATTGGATATCTTTTTTAAAATGGGTGTTGTTAGGGATAACATGCTCACGATATATATCACAATAAATTCAAAGATGTTTTATCTTAATTATAACTATTGAAAACTGTTGAATCCCTGATAAGTAAACTGGAAAATTTGTAAACCTAACTGATTGTATTTTAAATCTGGAGGAAGTAGGCCAAGCAATTATTAATACCAGGGCAGTCTCGCAGCCAGAATTTTCCAAGGAGTGTTCACTTTTTGAAAAATTCCAGAAGGTGTTCACTTTTGACAAAAATGGCCAAAATCACTTGAAAAGTGCTCAGAATGGTGAAAGCTGCATGGTTTTGAAAGAATTCCTCAACCCCCCCCCCCCCAACCCCCTGGCTACAAGCCTGCAGGGTATTTTACATGTTTGTCCCGATCATTGATAGAAGTAGGTAGATATCACTTATCTAATCCAATCCTGGGAATATAAAAAGATTTCTAATTTTAAGCTAATAAACTGTTGCAGAGTGGTACATTTTATAATAAATGTTCATGCAAAATGTTTAACATACAGTATACATATAACTATTGTGTCAAGGTACAGCTTCCAAAACATACTGTAGTATAGTTTTCTGAACATTACGAAATTAGTGTAAATTATCAGATCTGTACATTGACGCGTCAACTGAACGTTGATGATGTCATTGGAATTCGAGATGTAATATAAAGAACTTAGTATTTACTTCAAATACCATAAGTTTTTGGGTGGAAATTCAAATATTGTTCCAATCAAGTATCCAAAGTACAAATGTTGTTAATCATAAGGTAAATGTGATTCTTTTTTTCCTCTTGTTTGACCAGTAAACTATAGTATCAAACACATTTTGAATACTTATTCCTTGTTATTCCGAAGTAAAAGCATATTACCAGGAGTGAATGGAAAAAATAAGAATTGATCATTATTAATCTTGAATGGGATACTGTTTCTTTTCACAAAATTATTTCAGAGACAGGTTGCTTGTATCAAATATGTTTGCTGCTGAAACAGAACAAGACAAAGAGTGAACAGGATCGCACCCTTGCATAGAATATGTAGTTTTCTGGACGGAAAATTCAAAATTGCCACCTTAACATTTACCCAGACTGCGCAAAAACGAATCAGTTCTAAACCTTCATATGTAGAAACCATGGGCTCTATCAGATGAATCCCTCTAACGGTTTGGTTGGAAACTTGTAGACAAGCCTCGACAGATTTCAGGATGGAAAATCCAAAATCACACCCCATTCTCTTATACATCGTAGCACCGGAAGTTTAAGATGTTATACCCAGTATTTTACGCGTGAGTTTTGTAAGTACTCATTTTTTCGTCGTTTTGACAGAATATGGTCCTTTCCCTTTCATAGGATATATAATGCATTGACCTTACCATGCAGATATACCTCTAGTATCACTACGTCTCGACATTTCACAGAACAGCATTTAGAAAGCTGGCACCTGTCATGTTGCATTCTGGGAGCCAATCCTCCTTGCGGCGTAATAGGGCTCATTAAGTTAGTCATTAAAGTGGTGAACATAAATAATTACTAACACTATGAAAAAGACATTCTGTCACATATGTCATAAATTTTTACTTCAGTGAATTGAGTGCTCTATTTTCTCCATCCCGGAACGTACAAATATAGTGGAAATTGTGTCCATAATGAAAAATAGGAACTTAAAAATTTGAAGCGATATTCACATGTAAATGCCGTCTCTTCAAATGTTGAGGTGATTTTGGAGCCCAATTACGCCGCAAGATGGATTGGCTCCCATAATGCAACATGACACGTGCCAGCTTTCAAAATTGGGGAACAGCGTCTATTGTGCTACTTAATGTGAACGAAAATTATTTTTCTACTGCTTGGGAGATTATCGCATCCTACGACCCCTTTAGATTGTGGTCGTAGGCCCGTTTCATTCGTAAGCCTGTCTTTCTACAATGTCGGAGAATGAACTTCGCATTGCGCTATTAAATGACCTACCTCGATACATTCCAGAGTATTTTAAAATTCTTTTTATGTTGTTAGATCGCCAATTGTATGGGTTTATCGTCAGAACGAAGAGATTTTAGTTTTTACATCGGAAATATCTCAGCAATTTTCAAAATGTCGGAAGGGGAATTCCCCAGGGATTTCCCTTATGACTGGTGCATGCCGGGAACTGAATGGAGGAATTTGACGGTTGAACCTACACGCAAATATTGCTATCAAAAACGAAAATATCTTCATTCTGCAGATAAACCCATACAATTTGAGATTCAACTATATGAAAAGAATTCTAAAATACTCAGGAATGTATCGAGGTAGGTCATTTATGTGTACAATGCATAGTTCATTCTCCGACATTGTAGAAACACAGGCTTACTAATGAATCGGGCCTACGACCACAATCTAAAGGGGTCGTAGGATGCGATAACTTGGGAGAGTTTGAGACATGAAACTTAGAATTTAGCTCATTGTGACAACTTTTGATGGTAATAATGTCTCCAACTGTAAATTATTTTGACTCCTCTTTACACAGATGTTGGCCAGATTGTTTTGTAGTAGGATCATAGGCTCAAAGAATAATTCAGAAGATACGACACTAAATTGGAAAATTTCAAAAAAAAATTGACCACCTTTCAAAATGTTCCTAATACAAAACGGTACCTGCTTCCCTGTGACAGAGTTTGCACTTATTTTATAGCTGAGATCTTCATCTTTCTATTTCTACTTGTTTGGTTCGAGTAAATAACCCATGGATGCAGTTATTTGACTTTTAATACAGCGAATATTTTTCACGAGATCCGGACTCTTGTGTGTCCAAATATCATTGTACTGATGACGTCACATTTCTGGAACCACGGGAGCAACATTCAGATTTGGACAGACAAGAGTCCGGCGATAAAATATCACTATTTTGGCCTCTTATCAACGCAGTATTGCTTGAATAATGGTCATTGGTGATAAAAAAGTTAAAGAATAACAAGACGCTTCGAATGAGGTATGATTTGTCACATATTTTTCAGAAATGGCTCCACAATCGTCATTTTAAAATTTGAAATTTTCCGAGGAGTCTCATCTTGAGGAATATTTATTGAGCTACTGATTCTACTACAAAATAATCTTGCCGGGATCTATGCCTCTTTACAAAGTTTTCTGTTTTGTGTTTGGACTGATTTAGATTATATAAACAAAAGCAGATTGAAAAACTTATTAATACTTACGAATCTTAACGTTGACGTTGGAAACGGCTCAACTGCCTTTGTAAACTTGCTGAAATATTCCTGGAACAAAATATTGACAATTTTTTGTAGGTCATGTGAAACGACAGTCACATGATACCGCTACGAGATTTGTTTTCTAGGACATCCGTATACATTGTTTTTAGTGAATTTGTAGTATGGTAAAGTCTTTCACATAATCTTAGTACATTTTTGAGTCCATTTCACTCTTGCAAAGGTCTGATTTTTCTAAGAACATTGATTTCATATAAGTTAGAAACGAGATCTCGCAAGTATTTCAAAATGGTGAATGCGGTTTCAAAAATATTTTACTCCGATAACATCTATTATATATGCAAAAGTAAACAGATTCTGAACATGATCTGAATCCTTAGATGATAAGTAAGGTACGTTCATGAGACTTACTCGAATATTTCTATTATTTCTGGTTATATTCATTTGAAAATTAGATATTACTTAAAAAATTCGTATCACTTCCGGGTTTGTAAAATAGATGTTAATGAGTGCATTTCAGTCTTATTATGATAATCGTCTTCAGTCACTTTGTCGGAGCATCTAGAAAGCTCATGTTTGGAGCAATCACAGTGGCATATAATCGATTTATGTCCTGATTCTTGTTTGATTTTGCATCACCTGATCTGAGTGAATCAAGTATATCAAACTTACCCGTATAAATGTACAGTGTATATTACCCCCATATTTTTCTCAAAATAGTCGAACCGCACACTGATTAGTCTATTTTAAAGTTGGGGGACTTTTTCTTAAAAGCCAATGGTAGGGCACATGCAATACTCACCTTTTTACGATTTTCGTATCGACAAGACATAAAGGTGCAACAAGGTCTGCAAAGTTTGAGACCCTATCTGGCACAACCATCACTGTGTTATGAAGTCTTTTTAGTTTCGCAAGGATCCTGCCATGACCTGGTTGTGTTATTGTGATAGCCTTATATAACCGTGACAATGCTTTATAATATTGCATGGCCTGTCATGACCATGGTAAAGTTAAAGCCTGATATGCCCGTAACAATGCTATACTATATTGCAAGGCCTGACATGACCGTGGTAATGTTAAAGCCTGATATGACCGTGACAAGGATTGCAAGGCCTGTCATGACCATGGTAATGTTAAAGCCTGATATGACCGTGACAATGGTTGCAAGGCCTGTCATGACCGTGGTAATGTTAAAGCCTGATATGACCGTGACAAGGATTGCAAGGCCTGTCATGACCATGGTAATGTTAAAGCCTGATATGACCGTGACAATGGTTGCAAGGCCTGTCATGACCGTGGTAATGTTAAAGCCTGATATGACCGTGACAAGGATTGCAAGGCCTGGCATGACCGTGGTAATGTTAAAGCCTGATATGACAGTGACAATGGTTGCAAGGCCTGTCATGACCGTGGTAATGTTAAAGCCTGATATGACAGTGACAATGGTTGCAAGGCCTGTCATGACATTACACATATAGCATTGTCACGGTCATATCAGGCTTTAACATTACCACGGTCATGACAGGCCTTGCAATATAATATAGCATTGTCACGGTTATACCAAGCTTTCACGATACCACGGTCATGGCAGGATCCTTGCGAAACTTAAAAACACTTAATAACATGGTGACGGTTGTGTTAGGCATAAGTCTTGCAATAGATAGCATGTGCAAAGTTTTACCTCTTCTGAGATTCGGCATGATGTTTAGTTTAACATCTTCTTCTTCCTACCTATTTTCTTGAAGTGTATTGATAATTATACATCAGAAGTAACAAACTAATATATCAGAAATAACGAACTGGAAAAGCGGATTTCCTCTTTTTCATTTTTCTGAATTATGGAGGTGATAATTCCTGGTGGATATAATAGGGACTACACATTTATTTCGTTCAGAGTGCCATAACTGAGGAACGATTGCACTGAACGAACTATAATGCTTCCCAGGGTTCAATTGTTGCACATGCATAGTGAGAATAAAAAGTGAAATGTCATTCATGAAGAAGAAAATGAATTTGGTCAATTTCCTCTCCTTTTGTTATCCATCAAAAGAATGTACGTGGAAAAGTTTTTCTTGCAAAAACATGCTGATATCGTTCAATATGCACATTGTTCTCACTTTAATCATCAATTTTTCCCCCACAACTACCTGTGTTGGGGTTTAAAACATTTCCATTTTAGGACTTGTATTTTATACCTCGTCACTGAATTATCCATTGAGTGTTTTTTTCATTTTGCCTCAAGCTTCAATTTTTTCTTTATATGAGGTAAGTTTGGCCAATTCAGGCCAATTCATTGTCATATCTCATCTACCTTTCTTCAAATCAAACTTTGAATGAATTTTGAAATTCAGGAGGTATTTAGACATTTTCTACAAAATCTGTTAGATCTCATATTCAACTTTATGACAGAAACATAGATTTTTATTATTGTGCCAAATGTGGATGAAGAGTATAGCAGGCTATATGTATCTTGCCTCTTTTTTGAACAGGTTTGGGAATATTTTTGCCTTGTCGCTTATTTCTTCCTGGCTATGCCACTGTGCAGTACTAGTAAATGTACTTTTTAGTATGTTTATTTTGTATTTTTCAGACAAACAAGGGATAATTATGGCATCAAATACACAGGAAACTCAAGAGTCAAAGTCAGGGGAAAATGACAATGTGTCTAATAAATCTAACAACTTTGACTCCATCGCCATTAGTGTAGATGACACAAAAGACAGTAGCGATGATGTCACTGATACATCAAGTATGTTGCGGAAGAAAAAACAGCGTCCAAAATCTGAGAGTGTTTTAGGTGATAACCGTGTCAATAAACAGTCAACTCTTAAACGTGCATCAGATGGAAACTGCGATGAAGATGCCCTTAACGAGAGTTTAGATTCAGCACGACGTAGGATTGTAACTATGACAGGGACCATTACAAGAGGGAACCAGATAGGACAGACAGTGGACGTTGAGCTGAAACTATCACAAGATGAGCTCAGGAAATTAAACCAAAGTTTTGACAGTGAGGATGATGATCCAAATCCTGATTGCGTTTGGGGGCCAAAAAAGGGACTTCATATTTTTCTATTCACGTTATTGGTCATCCCTGTAGCACTTGTGTTATCATTTTGTGTGGCTTTCTATATGGGGATCATGATGTGGTATAACATGTTCATATACTTCAGTGAAGAAAGAACAATCTGGCATAAGATATTCATATGTCCTTTACTTATATTATTCTTGCCATTTCTTATTGTTCTAGTCTCACTTGGGATAGGCTTATATGCCTGCATTATACAAATCTCATGGTGGTTCCGCAGCTGGAAGCGGGAAATTCGTGACTACGAAAAGGGATTTTATGGTTGGATCTGTAACAAGCTAGACATTGCAGAATGTTCGCCATATGAAGTTGTAATCCTGGATGAATCTCAACTTGATTTACAGACTCCTCTACAGCAAACTGAAGCTACTGCTCAATCTGCAGTCTAACTGAAACTTGACTTCATAAGCTTTAATTTTTAGTATTACATACCTATCAAAGCATTTGTATGGGAACGAAAAGTTGCGGTTATATAGGCCCATGTAGCCGCTTTCATTATTACCATGACAACATCATGACATCATTTTTCATTTCTTCCAAATTCTACTTGCACAGAGAAGTGCGACGTCTTTGATACAAAGTAGCTATGGAAATGACTTAAAATATGCCCAAATATGGGGCCTCCCACGATCAGGCTATATTGGCAAAACTCAGGCATATTTCATGTCAGTGATAAAACCTCTAAATATTGCCCAATGATCTCCTTGTTTTTCCTTAATCTCGACAAAGTGCAAACTATTTTGGTCAAAGTATGTCAGTAAAGTGGAAACTGCAAACAGCAGGGTGGCAAGCTAAAGTATCAAGGGGATGAAGCACCATTGCTTGGGAAACAATTGTTTTCTTTGCATGAATAGTGGTACACAATACTCATTTTTATTAATATGAATTATCAAGATATTATGAATGGGTCCAATGTATTAAAAGTACACTGTACTTCACACTCAAGTAATGTTCCTGCTTGCTCCATTTATATTTGCTGCACATTTGTATTTTGTATGTATTCTTAAAACATGAACATATAAACATTGGTGCTTTAAAGTTCAACTTAGTTGCCTTGTATGTATTTTAAATATAGTATGTAAAATGTAGAACATGTATTTTTCTAATATTGCTTTAGATTTTGGACCTAGCATTAGATTTTATATGTACTTTTTGCAATGTTTGATAATATGCATTATTTCATTGTTTGTATCTACATCTATAAATATTTATATTGATGCCATAATTTAATATTGGATGTACAATACTCAACATATTTGTGTGAAGTATGATTTATCATAAGTTGCTCAGAATAATCTCAATAACCATGCAGACTAGTTTTCTGCACAAAAATGCTATATTGTCCAAGCTGGTACCGAAAATAGGAAATTCTACATGCCTTTGTGGCTATTTTTTGGACAATTCTCCCAAATGTAGAACAGGTGCATGATATCCAAGTTAATTTTCGGAGGCACATAAGATATGGCATAAGAAATCTCAGCCGTTTACTTGTAGCAAGGCAGAGATTGTTTGTGTATCTGAATGGATCTGGCACAGAAAAAGGAAAACTGATATGACTTCTATTACTGTAAGCTGAGGCCCAGGAATATGTCCGCTAGTGTACTGAGTTGTTTACTAACTTACATGTATAAGAGTAAGACTGCTCTTTTTTATTAATGACAGTATACCTGGGCCTCAGACTGTAAGGCCCGTCAAATTGAAGTATTACCCAAGAGGGGGGGGGGATTTTTCCGTATTGTTGGGTTGAAATTTAGAGCTCTCTGGTACATTCTGAGCATATCTGAGAGCCAAATCTTTAAAAAGAATTCTTGAAAAGGGGACAGTCCCCAACACCCTCCAATTCGGATCGTTATTATATAATTCAAGATTATTTTTGCAAATATATTTCTATGTACATGCTGCATGCAATTTGGTATAATCTGTAATAAGGAAGCCATTAAAAGACTGATGTTCTGTTTCTGAACTAAGTTATGCCTTTGGTTGTACCTACCTCTTATTTTTAAAAAACATTGAATTGACCACATATTGTCGGATCTATAGTATAGTCTTTGTAAAATACGAGACAAGGACTTTTTGATCCATTATTTGGATATCATAAAAAATGTCAATGAAAATGGAATGTTAGGGTTGCTGCTGCAAATAAGTGATTCTTATTGAATAAAAAAATGTCATTTAGAAACTTGAAACTGAAAATCTTAATCATTGTTTACATTTCTGATTCATCATTTATCTTTTGATAGCTCTTTTACTGAGAAACTCTACAACTTTATTTTAATGATTTTTACCATGTATTCTACCTAATCCTACTTTTGTAAGCTTTACTTTTCTAGATACAATGGCTCAAAAGTGTATTCACCAAAAACACTGTACTGTTGTTCAAAGTATATACATGTAGAACCAAACATATGATGTGGATGTTGCCGATTTTATCATTGCTTTTTAAAATATAATGGAATGTGAACGTATATTTATGGATTGTTTGTTGAGGCTGTTTACATTCTGTAGTTTTTACAACCAGTGATTTATTTAAGATTTTAAGTACTGAACGCAAAAAATATCACAAATGGATTGTCCCATCCTTTAACCAAGACCAAAGGTTGCCTTCACTCTGAAATGTTTGGTGATGCCAAAAAAAATTATGTGATTTAATTGCGCAAATTCTCATTTTCTCCTTGGTTATGGAGCATAGATAAATATCTTTTTATGACAGACTTTGAGCAATATACCAGATACAATGATACATTCATATCCTGCATCAGTTACATTCTGATCATATCAATATGAGACCTGGGTTACAACTGGATCCTGGGATTTGTTGAATAAACCCAGCTGTAGTAAGTTATGATTTGTTTTTCGACTAGCTGGAATAGCAAAGATTTAATCCAAAGGCAAGAAGTTAATATTCCAATGTAAACTGTTTCATCAATAACATGTATTTTGCATTGCCTACATTGTGACTTTTAAATTATATTCAAATCAAAAATGAAATGAAATGAAAAAAGATATGATTTCTACAAAAGCAATGCATAAAACCTTTATTTCTATTTAAAATGACAATGTATTCAATGACTTTATATATTAAATCAGTTACAATTCGAACCTGAGGACAGGTTACACTAATTTCTTGCAAAGCTGCCTCCATCCAGTTACAAGCTTGCTACAGTTGAAATCCCAAATCCAAATGTTCACAACAAAAAGTAGTTTAATTCAATGAAATCTATTGATTGATATGATGAAGATTGATATCGACACTTTTATTTTGAAAGAGAAGGTTGCAAATGTATGTTGATCTACTATAGACATCTATTCTGATTGCATTGAACTAATAACAAATGAACCAAACTCATGATGACAGTTTCATTCTGGGAAAAAGTTGAATGTCATTCGATCAACTTGAGTTCTGAGAAAATGAGGATTTCAGCAAGGGTGCATTGACTTTACATGACATACCTGATGGCATCCCCATGCTAAGTCAATGATCAATGGTGTACCCATGTTGAGTCAATGCACCCTTGCTAGAATCCTCATTTTCTCAGAACTCAGGTTGATTGAGTCTCAACAAGTAGATTCATGTGGGATAGTATTGCTCGAATCCATTTTCAAAAGCAAAAATAGGGGTTCTTAAACAGGACATTAGGTTTGCTTTTCGGAACTTTTTGTTGGTACTATTGGGTTTGTTGCCCTATTTGATAGTATGATGACCTATGTTTGGATATCTTGTTTAACCTCAGGTGTATTTCCAATAATAGTCTATAATCACTGCTGAACAGTAAAATAACTGGAATATAAGAAAATGCAAAATATCTGATTCATTCTTTGTCAAATTACAAACAAATATTTCAATTATAATTTGTTTAGTAAACAATTTATTATAAATTATGATATGTATAATTCATCATGTTTTTAGCATGATCATATTTATCAGCATTATAAAACAGCATACACTAATAGTATACAGGTACCCTTAAGTTGATTACCCATTCCCAAATACTTGTACATGTACAATGCAACTTTAAAAATAAAAAATATTCTATAAGCTTTAATTGGGACTTTGAGTACTTATTATTCCAGTGGAATGTGTAAATTGATGAACAACATGTGCAAATTCGAAGTGTGCTATCACATTACTTGATAATGTAGACAGTACATACTACCATTATATCACAACATCTGTACAATACTGAGCCACATGGGTGGTATTCATGCCCTGATGATACTATGAGCAACTCATGGATTGATTGGGATGTTGTTACGACAAATGCAGATGCAGCATTGGCAGATTTCAATGATATAATGGCATTGCATTATTCTTTACGAATCACATGTTCTCGTTACATGAATATCACAATTTGAAACTTATACTGTAGTCTGAACACATGAGTATGAATAGTCTTGACTCAAGCCCTGATGACCCTGGTTTAAATTTCATCGCAAGGTAAGATGGATAGGGGGGTCCTCGGACTTGATGCAAGAGTATGAATTGCAAAAATGACAATTAACTATTATTAGAAATCTGAGAGAAAGTACAAAGTTTTAAAATAATTGTACTCTTAAATCTTATAGTCATAGATAATCATTTACTTAAACAGTGAACTGTATATAATATTTATTTTTACTTATTCATGAGTGTAAATTCTTTGTTATAATAAAATATCACATTAAAAATATCTAACAAATGGAAAACAATATGCCAAAAACCATACAGAGCACTACATACTGTATATTGCCTATTTGGAATCCTGTAATTTAACTAAAATGTGCCAGTACTAGTTTAATATCTAAATACATTCTCTGCTGGTTTAATATCTCAATACATTCTAGTACTGGTTGAATATCTCAATACATTCTAGTACTGGTTTAATATCTCAACACATTCTAGTACTGGTTTAATATCTCAATACATTCTAGTACTGGTTTAATATCTCAATACATTCTAGTACTGGTTTAATATCTCAATACATTCAAGTACTGGTTGAATATCTCAATACATTCTAGTACTGGTTTAATATCTCAATACATTCAAGTACTAGTTTAATATCTCAATACATTCTAGTACTGGTTTAATATCTCAATACATTCAAGTACTGGTTTAATATCTCAATACATTCAAGTACTGGTTGAATATCTCAATACATTCTAGTACTGGTTTAATATCTCAATACATTCTAGTACTGGTTTAATATCTCAATACATTCAAGTACTGGTTTAATATCTCAATACATTCAAGTACTGGTTGAATATCTCAATACATTCTAGTACTGGTTTAATATCTCAATACACTTTGGAATGTTAGAATGGAATTTGGCAATCATATTAAAACCCAAATTGCCATATCCAAAAAACCATCTAATCACTGCAAATCTGCTGACCTACTCCTATGCATAATAATATTATATTTGTAGATCTGCATATTTATGATTTAACAAATGGACATTAGTAGGTAAATAGTATAAGCATTAGCAAAATATTAGTATAAATATATGCTTTATACAACTGTATAAATAAATATGCAACTAACTAAAAGTTGAGATTGTCCTTGACTGCTGTTTTATGCCTACCTATGCCCTGGGACCCATTGCAAAATTTTTCCTATCAGGATGTGGCCACAAGTGCTGGCCTGTTGGATAATATTCAGCAGATTTTTATACTGACGAGCTGAATATTTGTTTTTTAAATTTGGTTACATTTTGAAGGATTAACTGAAAATGTAACAACTTTAAAGACAGTCAAAAATTATTTTAAGTGTGAAAAGAAAGAAACACTTTCTCCAAATATGTTAAGCTGGATCCTTACGGAAAATTTTTCAATGAATACTATTGATATATGCACTGATATACCATTTATGGGTATCTAGTGCCGACCCTTTGAATTATGATAGACAATTATAGTAAATAAATAATAAATTCAATGCAGCGTTTCTGAAATGGGTCCCAGATCTACATTGAGGTTTGTTGTCAATAAAAGCCAGGATTTGTGTGCTCTATGATACATTTTTTACAATGTTTTTTCACTGCTTTATAAGCATCTACAGTAACATGACAGTCCTGTATGTTCAACTGCTGTAAACCTTTGCAGGTTTTAGCAATGGCTAAGATTCCATCGTTTGTTATGGCATCGCATGATTTCAAACTGAGTTTCCTCAAATGACTGCAGAAGTTTGCTAGTATATGTAGTCCTTCATCTGTAATGTCACATTTGCCGACATCGAGAGATTTTAATCTTGTACAATTCTGAGCAAGTAAATCAAGGCTATCATCCGATACAGCTTCGCAACCACGTACATTCAAATAACGCAGCTTTTTGCAATGTTTTGCGATATATTTTATGCCAACGTCTGAGACTTTATCACATTTAGCCACACTGAGATACCTGAGGTTATTCTCCAACTTTGAGAGTTCCCTCATTCCAAAGTCAGTAATTTTCCTGCAATCACTCACACTGAATTCACGGAGATTTGAACAATAACTAGCGACATATTGAATTCCTAAATCTGTGATGCGAACACAACGTCGTAAATATAAATGCTGTATTTTAGTGCAATGTGATGCTATGATTTGCAATCCAGCATCTTCAAGGTCATAACAGTCTGTCATATCAAGATGGCGTAGGAAGATCTGGCGGCCATTTTGTGTTGTTTGCATTGCAGCTTCAGGAGTAAGGCTGATACATGTGATACTACTGCACCCTGAAATTAAAATAATACAAATTTTAAGTGTACTGATAAATAATAGAACTTCCAAACATATGAAGAAACGGTTCACTTGGAATATTCCTATATATGTATTGCACATGGTGAATAATATTGTATCTCAGAATGAAAATGAGCACCTCAAAATTTATCCAGAATGTCAGAAAAATAATCAGTTTTACATTTTTAAACCATGACATTGCAAATCAATCTATCAAGCGGTTTGTCTGAAAATGCACAGACAATAAACTGATAAAAGAAAGACAACACCCGCCACTTTTTCCAATTAACCACTTGCAAGTAAAGAGCATGAACGCTAAGACATAATCAGTATAATGTGCAGCGTATAAAACTTACCTTGGAGATTGAGATATTCCAGGTTGACACACCTGGACACCACTTCAAATATTGCCCTATTGCTAATTGTGGTGCAGCCCTGGAGCTCCAGATGCCTCAGTTCAACACAACGTTTGGCGATATAGTGTAGTCCCTTATCTGTTAATTTATCACAGCCATTGAGCACAATCTTTTCTACCATGACACACACTGTTGGTGTATCATAGCTCAGTCTTTTAGTGAGCGATCTTAGAGCTTTATCTATTGGTAGCTCAACATTTGATAGCTTTATTGTTTTCCATAAAGATGGCTCCCATGCCAGGTTATACCAGCGTCTATTGACTAAAGAGCATCTGCTTAGTTCATCTGAAGACAAATTGGCAAATATTTTGACTATAACATCATCAGGTAAGCGATCAAATTGTGAATGCCTACTGCGTTTTTTCTTTACACCTGACCTGATCATTCTCTCAGTGTCCTCCAGGTCTGCATCGTAAATATCACCATATTGGGCTGAATGAATGTCAGGGTAAACCACTTGTGTGGCGTAGGGGGTTGCGTAGGCAGGAGGCTCATGGTAGCCATGATTCTTGCTATTTGATGCCTGCCCTACACGAGGGTCAAGTCTATATTGCTGCGGGGCTCGTTCATGATGACTGTTATCATATATATAATATTCATGTCCTTGGTCTGTATATTCAACATAATCATGCTGAGCATGAGCCTCTCTTTCTGCTCGATCTCGCTCACGACGATGCTTCTGAGATTTCCCGGCTGAGATTTTAGCGTAATCTGGTGTATATTCCTCTGGAGGTTCCTGGTCTTGGAATGATGTCAGAGGGGGGTAGGAGGGGGGTGCATCAGAAACAACACCTGAACTAGAGTCGTGATAAGACTGGTCTAATGTCTGGATACCATCTGAAAATACAGGGAAATAAGCATTTAGAAATATTCCTCATTACCATGGAGTTACCTGTAAAACCTGTAAAGTGGAACATCTCTACATCCCCAAAATGCAATCTGATTTTCGACGCCGTTTCGGGTCATTTCGGCACCAAATGGACTGACTAGTCCGGCGCCAAATTTTGGTGTCGGAACAGCGCCGTTTTTTTCGATGTCGAATCGACACCAAATTATATTGGCTGTGTAATAGGAACCCATCCAGAAGTAGGACACTTTTGAATTGAAAAGCTGCAAACTTGTTATTGTTTGTCATTCCCAGTAGTTTTTATTTTATGTCATAGTAAAGAATCATAAAATAAACAGGGAGAGAGTCAGTGATAAATGGCTCATTCTGAGGCTTTGCCTTTTAACCTAGTTTAATAACTATAATGTGATATTTGAAGTTTCAATTTTCTAATCGATAGAAATGCTAAACATATATTGAACAGCATAATATAACTGCACTTAACATTCAACTTTCTCAAAAAGAATTTAAAAAAAAAAGTTCATTGGCATTTTCTTTTTATTGTGTCACACATACAGGAAAAATAACAAGTTAAATAAGCAAATAAAGATAGAAAGAACGATAATTGCAACTTCATCTCCAAGTGTTTATTGTTGAAATAGCACAATTGGTTTTGTCTGTATTTACATTAGCCTAGATTCAACTTCTCTATGACGTAGAAACACTTTTTCAATGTTGCCCTCGGGCATACAAACTGTATGAAGACACAGTATATTAGAACTTATCTACTACCCCCTGAAAATGATAAATAAAAAGATTGAATAAAAGTATAAACATAGATTGAATTCTAATTGAGAATTTTGCTTAACATCGCTTTTTTACAATCTAGTATATTACAGGTGGTATAAAACATTATACAATAGGTCACAGGTGTTACTTTATCAAGTTTTTATTCCAAGCATTGTCAAAAATTGTGTTTTATGTATATAACAAGAAGCCTATGAATGATTACTAAAGCTTAGCTTAGACAGTGAACCATATTAAGGAGCACAGGACTATTTGAACAAAGCTTTCTGCCTTTTACATTACAGAATAAAGAAATCCCACTATGCAAGTTAAGAATGAAAATGTTCCTATAAGCCCATTGAGAATTTCTATTCATTACTGTTCAACAATGTTTGCTTGTAACTGGGAGTGTTTGACTTGGAGCACACTCTCGGACACTGAGATATTTCTCTCTCATTCAGCCCTTGGTTCAATCTCCATTACTAGTCTATAAAGAGTCAATTTCCTTGCCGAACCCAAACAAAATATCATAAAATTTCTTTTCAAAAAGATAAACCTTGGAATCATAAAAAAGATTTGAACTTACATCAAGATCAAAGTAAAATACAATGCAAAATTTGTAGTTTCCAAATAAATATGTAGCAATGTGAATGTTCAACAGTAATCGATAAGAGATTTTGGTTAGGCAATATTTAGTTACAATACATACATGACCCTGAGGGATATATTATTACATATCCATCAACCAATAAAGACCAATACTTGACCTTGTTGGAGGTTCGGCCATTTAGAGAAAATATTATGATATCTAACTGTGATGTCATCTTGAGAAAAAATCCTGGGGAGAACTCTGATATATCATAAGTTTGTGAATCTGGTAAAAATTAAAATTTTGTATCTTTTTCAAAACACTCCTATGTTTATGATTAATCACGCTAGAAGAGTCTAGTCATCCAGACTAATCTTGAAACTGTATATCACACCACATTTACATAAGTCTGTTTGTGTCTGGAAAACATCTTGTTATGGAGGGTGTACAATCAAATGAGCTAAATCTGATTCTACTTTTTAAGGATTTTGATTTTGTTACTTTGATAGAAAGCTGAGATATAGTTATGTTGATATTGTTTGAATAAATATATCTTTTATTTTTATATTTCATTGCAGATATGTAACCATTTTTTATGTTTTTGTCATTTTAAACCCTTAAATTTTCTATTTTCACCATTGAGTGCCTCGTCAAGAAGCTTGTTTATCTCAACTTATCAAAAGACTTTTCAGAAAAATAACATAATGTCATATATTTTATCAAATCTATTAGCTTTCCACAAATGATTGTAATATTTCTTTATACTCATTTACACATCAAAATAATGAATACAAAATATAACATTATTTCTTCTAATCTTTAAAACTGTCACAAAATGTATCAATGTACAAAAAATGATGACCATATAAAAGAAATATATATGAAATATCTGATCGAATTATCACTTATTTTTAAACACATACATGATATTTATTCATTCTATGTAATAATCTTTGAAAATGAAAAACCTGTTGTATGATATTACAAAATTTTGTAACTTTGAAGTTCCCGATACTTTTATTCTGTTATTAATCAGATAACATAGTAACATATCTTCCATTAACACTCAGACATACATGCTCTCATTACAGATTTATGTTTTAACTTTATCTTCACGATTAAAAATGGCTGGCCCTTATAAGGTATTATATGACATTCATATTCTTGAATCTGTTAATGATGTTGACATTTTGAAAAAATTATTTAGTTTTTTTTATTATTTCTTATACTGTCATTTTGCATTGATTTTGTTAAAATTTTACCTTTTCGTGGAAATAATTTTAGTTCGTGCCAAGTCATTTCAAATACATGTATACAAAAACTTCAAGGCTGAATCATTAAAATATAGACATGTAGGTTTTCAAGATGAATTCCTTGTCCCATTTAGAACAATCTTTAGAATTCGTGTCAATGCCATCTTGTCATGTAATGGTTCAATAAACAAGGAACGAATATGATCCAATATATGATTGGTAGATAAGAATATGACATCATATCTCCACAGATGGTATGGCATGTACAGTGCCACATACAATACATGTACATATGAATGGACATTATCAAATTAAATATTGATCTAAAATGAACCTTTTTTAATCAATAAGAACAAACAAAATACCAGTGTGAGAAATTCAACACTCCCTCAGAAAAAAAACTAAAAAACAAACAAAATATTTTTCTTTGCTAAGAAACCTTTGATACTTGTTGAAAAGAGGAAAAATAACATTTATTTCATAAATTAACTCCTATCTGACAATGTGCCTAAAACGGACCCAAGTAGATTAAAGTTGCAAAGTTGCTTGGATTGTCTATCATCCTAAAAAATAGGTAAAATACTACATTGCAATACATTATTTAGAAAAAGTTCATACTTTAGATCCAACACTGTACTTTTGTATTTCAGATAAATTCTTTTTAGGTGCAGTACACCTTTGATTTCTTGTAATTTAGGGAGTTACAGCTATGAACATTTTCTTTAAATAAGATATCAGAGAAGCAACAAAATACAAGAGGGGCACAAGAGGTTACACATTTGTTAGCCAAACCACAACCAATCCTTTACAATTTTTTGCATCTAGAATATGTATGTACTTTTTATATAATATTACAGTGTGGTCCTTTGAATGCTAATTTTCTAGGTTTGACAGGCCACACTGCCATACATAATAGTATATTTGTTAGCTCCATTTTAAATAACATTTGGGAATAAACTTAACATAAGAGAGAATTCCTAAATAAAAAAAATTAATTCATATTAAAAAATACATAATTCACTGCTTGTTCAAGTTCTGTCTCAAGTCGAAGTAATAAATATGAACTTGAATTTTAGCTTTTAGTCTAAATGTCTTACTACATAGCTTTATTTGTATGAAAATATTATTTCATAACTTAATTAAAGTGTCACAATCAGAATGCAATTAATCTTAAACCATGTAAATTACTAAAAGGATTTAAATCAAACAATTAGTGATTGCAATTATACTTGGATTGTCTAAGTCCTCAAGCTTTGGATTCTATACATACATCTAGATTATCTTATGAAACACATTCAGTAAAATCGGTATAATATAAAATATCTATGTGAGGATAATATATAATTCATAAAATGTAAGCTGAACAAAACTCATGAATTAATCATGGTTTTATCACACCTATATGTACATGTATAATGTAACAACATATCTTACATATGAATGTATACAGAAATAAAATATCCTATTTTGAACAACCAAAAACTTCCAGCGGGAGATTCAAACATTTAAAAACAAACTTGAAGGCTAGACTCCACAATATCCCGATAAAATACATTATGAATATAATGTTTATTTACCACATGGAACATCTTGAACCATACACCCACTCATGTAAACAAAAATGTTATAACACTGTGCAAATGTAGTATGATAATACAGAAAGTCATAATTCTTAACGTTACACTGGCGGATCTATAGATAAATTTGTTTTTGGGCCTAATCATAAATAGGCATTTTTCGATAAATTGGGTCTAAATTCTAGAAAAAATTGTTTTTTAAGACCTAATTAGACCTAAATTTTCAAAAAGGTCAATTGTCAACTGCCAGATTCACCCTTTGGTTATACTGGGTTCTTGTATATATGTTGCCCCTTGTTGATTTCTCATGTATTTTAAGTCGACGAAATACAATACAAGGTAATGTTTTCATTTTTGATTTTATAAGAACTGCATAAAAGGTGAAATATGGGATTATTTGAACATAAATGTACCTGTTAAACCTGTGTAGAAGTGTGTGAAGATTGATGTCAGGTTAACAATGAGGATTTTTTAAATCTACATAAAGCAATGGCCACTAAAAGCCTTGAAATAGTTTGTAAACAAATAAAAGGCAAAACCCATCAAATATCAAAGCTAAAAGCCAGCACTTCAGAATTTGACAAATGTAAGCAACTTTTCAAAAAACATTTCATGACATCTTGAAAATGTTTGCCCTCTTCAACCAGGCTTCAGAAAATGTTAATTGATATTCTCAGCATCTACTCGCAGAGAATCAAATATCATGGGCCTCTCTAGCCCCGGGTCAGGGTTACCCTAATTACTCTAAGGCACCTACCTACATACCTATAATTTCACATGCCCTGGACAAATAAAAGGCTTAAGGC